AGATTCGCCTGTAGCTCAATCAGCTTGCTCGACGCTCCGGATCTCAACCCAGTACACTACCTACCCTTCCTACACGTTGTCATGGTGTGTCCCTCTCCTCGCTTCAATTACCTGCACTTGCTAACAATTCTGTCCCTTAGGTGAAGACTGGTCTGATATATTCAAAGTATGATTCTCCACAACTGGACGCTCCTTTCCTTTCTTTCTCTCTTTTCGTGTCTGCATGATCGTTTCACAAGTACAATATTATTAGAATGAAATGTAGTAGAAATAAATCAATGCAAGCATATTAAAATGTAAATACTTAATTATAAGAGGAAAAAGAGAGAAATAAATGAATACCTGGATTGTAAAATATTATAACTATTTTGAAGCCTTGTAAAGCTCTTATAAAGTATAATAATATCTAACAATATACAAAGTACTTTTAAAGCTTTACATTAGATTGTATATATTATAAAACTATATTACTCTTGTTAAAATACAAAGTTCTTTTAATATCTTTTCATTTTAGGAGGTTGGATATAAGTTCATTTACATATTGTCAATACTTATAAACCTTATTCATATTAACAATTTGTACATACCTTTTTGTATCTTATATAGCTTTTTATAATTTTCTCATTTTAAGAGGTTGGATATATAGTCTTTTATATTTTTTAGAAAATTTATATAATTTATATGTTTATAAGCTAATATAAGCCTTAAGACTTTTTCCTGATGATTGTGCCTGCTCTCAAATTCGAATATATGTTACAGATTAGAGCCAGGACAGATAAATAATCAAGATAAGATTTTATTATAATATAAAATTAAGAAATTTTGATAATATATATTATCATAGTCAAGCAAGCTAGAATAGATTAGAAGGGCAAGGCTAGTAACTTTATCTATAGTAAGAAGAATCTTAAGAGAGATTGAAAGTATTCTGTCTGTACAAATTAGATTAAATAGTATTAAAAGTTAAATATAATTGCTTTACTAATATAATACTAATATACAAATTTGAAGAATATCTGTAGAAACAATCATAAGGCGACCCAGGATTTATATTGTGTGCCTAATACATAGTAACTGAATCTACAGGGAACAAACGGATCCGTTGAGTGAGCTGCATTCTTGTTTTCGAAACTGCAGGTGGGTCGATTTGCTCATCAAATTACTCGCAACCCCGTCAGGAGAAAGTCAAAATTATTATATACTCTTATATGTATCTAAAATATGTAAAAAAACAATATTATCCATAATGACATTATTGCACCCCTCATTGGATAAGATATATAAAAGATACTATAAGGTTGTAATAAGATAGATTTATATTATGAGAATTAATAAACATTACATGTCTTTACAATAGGGATATAAGAATTATAGTTCTTAGGAAAGTCTATAATGGTATATATTGCACCCCTCTTTTGATATGGCATAATATTTCTTATGCTATCTTATAATCCTTATATAAGTTAATTTACAGCTTATATCTTATCTGAATGGCTTATTATACAATATATATTTTATTTAAATATTTTATTCTTTACTAACAACGATACATAATATTAATACATTATGATAGGAGCAAAAGTATCACTACCTTATCAAATCACAACAACTGATAGACGTACCGTGGGTATTCATCTCCTCGTGCTCTTTCTTCCCCTGCTTCGCGAGTTCGTCCCAGTACTTACGTTCCTCTACAAACAGCGAACGCCATTGTTGTGAGATCGTTTTGGAGAGGTCAGCTTGACGCTGATGTCGTGCTACCAGGTCGCCTTCTGCAGGTAGTGCGGCCTCCGCCTCGTTCTTTTTCAAACAGCATTCACGACGGAAGACGATGAATGCGTTCTTGCGTCGTTTGATGTGGTCTTCGTCACCAAGACTTGGTCGTCGCTCGGTCCCTGCAAGTTGAATTGCGTGTGCCTGTCGGTTGTAAGGTTGTACGTGTTGTGCGGGTTGAGGTTGCGCTTGTGAGAGAAGTTGTGAGACTGTCTGGCTAAGGGTGTGAGTGTGAGTGTTGGCATTGGCGTGAGTGGCTAACTAGAGCGAGGAGATGGATGTATCGCGATGGCGTGTAGGGAGTGTGAGCGGTACACCGGGGTCGTGATCTGGAACGTTGAACGAGCTGATTTGGGCTGCAGGCGAAGCCGTGTCTGTACGTGCGCGTTGCATGCTCTAACTACGTTTCGCAATCGGAGGTGCAGTGAACCGAGTGGTCGTTGTGGATGACTGTAAGGGTGTATCTCTGGGACGTTCCAGCTCGAGGGGAGAATGCGAAATGAAAAACGCGGACAGACTTAGTTAGGCCGAGGTGAGTGGTGGGCCACTGCCCGCGCTCGATATGGCACTATCCACAGCACTGAGGAATGTAAATGCACACTAAATAGACCTGTCTAGGGTTACGTCAAACACGGAATGGGTGGGGGAGGAGAGCACATACAGTGTAAGAGAGAAGGTGGCACTATAGGAGAGGTTGTACATGGACATTGTTGTGAGCTTTTGCTTGTCAATTGTTGCCTGCGCTGCAGAGCGGGAAGAAGTACGCAAATGCATAGAATTATTGAAGAAGTTGATCAACAATGCGGATGCGCGAATGCGAATGCAAAAGGAAGGCAAACGAGAAGAAAAGGAGGACAACGAAGGAGAGGCAACACAGGGTGTGGAGGAGCGGAAGGAAGACAAAAATGTTGAGAGGAGAGGGGTGAGCAACTACTGTGCAGGTTATTATGAAACAGACTGGCTGCTTACACTTTATGTTGAAGGACGGTGTAGTCAGCTGGGGTGTCGTTGCAGGATCTGAGGCTCAGCGCAGGCATTGCAACAGCAGATTGGAGAGACGCGTACAGTGATGTTTATTGTCTAGGTTGTTGCAGGCAGAGTGCGAGCTGGTAGGACACTTGCAAGCAGAGGACTGGACTAGAGAGACCAGAAGCGACAACATAGTGATGGGGCAGAAGGTTACTCGATAGTGGTCGGAGGCATAGAGAATGACGAGGACGAGTGCCACACCAAGATTTAAGTACTAAGTCCCATGTGATATTCGATGATTACATAATCTAAGCGACTTGCTTAATATTTATTATACTATTGTAATGTGCACATTACATTCTAGTACTATATATTTATTAAGTTTATAACCTCTCAAACAGAGTTTCTAGATATTATAAACATTAATAGAACTTTTATACAAATTATAAGTATAGAAAAACCTCTTTATTATATTGTATATTAGATACAAACCTTTTTCTTCAAGTATAATACTATTACAGTGCTTTTATTCTCTATATATAACTAATAAAATGTATATACCCTTTATATAAGACTATTATAATACATTTACCATATTATATTAATGAATAATACTTATAGAGCTTTTATAAGAGTATATAAGACTTGCTTTTACTTTATAATAGAGTTAAATACTTATAATTACAATAAAACTGATAAGTAATGTGTATTTTATTATATAAGATCTATAAAGCTATATAAGAAAACAGACTTTTTCCTGACGCCACTTATTGAATACACAATCCCCAGTCAACTGAGACATTTGCACTGTTCATCATTAGAAGTATCATGGGCTAGCAGTCCGTCCATCAGATTGCTTGTGCAACAGAGCACAAATGTCCATGGCGCATGGCCACAAATAATCGAGAGCACGAAACAAAGTATCCTGACCTATTGTACAAAGCAAATTACTCATTAGAGATCCTATCGCGCTTCTCATTCACTAACTCCTTTAATGCCTCATGTCCTCAGAGATAACTCGGTGCTGTAAGTCTCTTTGTCCTCGAGCCACATCCCAGAATCTGATATTTCAATAATCGCTTCGGAATGACCTTCAGCCTGTGCGTGGGGATCCGAGTTCACGCTGGCTGTCTGCATCATTTCCTGCTACCAACAGGCACCTCAGCCGCTGTGGCTTCTTCCGGTCGCCGCTCATCATCTTCTACCTTCACATCAGTCAGAGAAGGCATCCGTTCACAAGCCTCCGCACCGTAGCGACTTCGGGTTCCAGTTGCGGGGGCGCCTCCCAGCCCACAGCTCACGGTGCTCACCTGCACGTATCCATCCTGCCACATTACTCTCATGCTTAACATGTGGAGGATTCCCATAGCTGCCAAGAGTGTGGAGTCAAATTCTTCGTTCACATCCTCTTGTAGGCTCGCTTCTCTAACCGCAGGTTCTGAAGAGTTTTCATGTACGGCAGTGGTTATCCTTGCAAGATGTTGTTGTTTCTTCTTTATTTGTTTAGTCTTCTTCTGAATCTCCTCTGCCTCGTTCCTATCGGCGTCGACAAAATCTGATGCCTTTTGTTCCCGTCTGTGATCTGCTCTGTTAAGCTGAGACTCCAGCTCCCTTTTGAGTATCCTCCGCTTACCATTTAGCGAGTGTTCACGTCACGCTGGGGTATACTCTCCGACACAAACATGATTATATGGCTACAATCGTGCCTTTTCAGGCGAGTCGTCGAGCAGAAGCGTTTTACGCATGCTATGTTCTCCTGGGAGCTCGGTCCATGGCCTTTCGAGGTACTTTGTCGTTTGGACTTTACGAGCTATATCAAATAAACCGAAAATTTTTATTCTCAAACATTGCGTGAAATAAAGGGAAAGGACATGAATGCCTACAATATTCGCTATGCGACAGCTCTAATGTATCACGAGCACAAACAGCGATAAACTTTCCTTCCCACTCATCCTGGATCTCACCATCCTGCTTCTCTTCTTCATTTAGTCTGCGTTCCGCGTCTTGACGCCCTATCGAAGAAACACTGTCGAATAATCCGTTCGTCATTATGCCCCTGTGCACTTGACCACGTCATTACATCCAACTATTTTCTCGTTTCCGGGTGTAGAAGGAAATGATGAAATGATGGCATGCAGGGATGCGGATACACTGAGCCAATGGATCGCAATCGTAAAAGTAAAAGTTCCATTCAAATCGAGGATAATCGTTTTTCGAAGAGGAGTAGAAGTCGGCGTAGACGGTTCAGCTGCAATACTGGATACTCCTCAGACGGTAAAGATGGGATATGTGAAGGTGGCGGAGGCGAGAAACGAGAAGCTAGAGACATGAAAGATCCATTAAGATGGGTAGAAATAGGTGGAACCTCTTTTCGAGGTGGACGCGGAGCATGATTAGGACGCGGATCTTGGAAAGAATCATGCTGACTTTCAGTCGTCCTTCGCCAAGAAATCTCGTATTTTTATGTGGGTCTTCATCCGTATTATTCGACGTGTTGCGGTAGAACGTGTCTCTCGATGCACTAGTACTAGTGTTCCTTGTAGCTCGTCCTCGGAGGCAAATATCATCCATACTCCTCAGTATAATTATGATGGTGCCACTCATTCCTTCCATGATATCTTTGCCAAGATCCAGAGCGACTGTTATTCAATTGATATTCACATCCTGCTGTACATCGAAGCTACGGTGATGATTGACGTTTCTTCTTCTGTTACTGTACATGTTCTTCCTTTGATTCGGTGCTGAGGCCGCTCCAAGCTTCAAGAATGCATGTACACGAATCGATGGTGATAGATGCCTCTGAGATGAAAGCTGCGAACGAGAAGACAAAGTGCGCAGCATGTGCCCTTGAGCTGCTTTTCTCAAATGCACAAGTCAGATTTCGGAATCACGTGATGTGAATGAATTAATTTCAGAGCATTTTCTGTGCCGAGTCGCGCTCCCTCCTGAGGACGAACCATCCAAACATCCTTCAGGTATCCTGGTTAGGTCAAAGCTTCCTAATCTCATCAACACATAGCACCTGTCAAGAATAAGATAGTGATAACAAGGTTTTGGTCTTACAACAAGCGCCGAATTTACAAGCTGCACTGGAATACGCTGGAGGCAGGATGATAGAGGAGGTGCATCGTCTCTTCTCAGCTTGTCCTCATCATGACCTTTGTACATATTACTCCTGGGCTGCTAGTGGAACCCTGCTATTGTGCTGTAGCATCTATGGCTGACAGAGCCATTATTGACTCGAGAACGGTCATCTCATTCATCATAGAAAGTTCCGCTTGCCAAAGCAATATTGTAAGACTGTTTGTGGGCTCACAATCATTAGCACAGCTACCGGATTGTTCTGACCTTGGGTACGTCTGGCTTTTGTAGAAATCTCTTTTTCCTCCTAGTAATGAATGCCCCAAATAGATCAACAGCCTCATGGGTGCTAATTACTATTCAATCGACGAGTTTACAGCTGTCTGTGTTCCCTTATCTACTGTTATTCAGTTCGTCGTTCGACTCGATTTCCTTACAAGCAAACAGGCATAATATCGAAAAGATGGCAATGATCTCACCCTAGTCGTCATCGTGCCTGATATTTTTGATCATCACTGTACTCACATCAACATCACTTGCTTAGTATCACTGCAGCAATGCTGAGTGTTCCCCTATTGCCAAATCACCCGTTCTTAGGAATTCACGCTGATGATTCAGATGAGCATACACATTAGATAGCAATCTAGTCTGCGTTCATAGCGACCGTCCACCCGCTTGTATTAACATCAAAGTTGCAGTTGTGGCGAAACTGTCGGCAGCTAATACTGTTGATGTTGGTCACCGACTGTGCATTGACGCCCTGAAATGCATGCAGTGCCTGTTCCTTGCAGGACTGCAGGAAGGAACAGACTAGCAAGGACATTGTCTGCTGTGCTACACAGCGATAATCCGAAGGCAGACACCAACTGTGCCATATCAGCAGCTCTGGACGAGATCCGCAATAAACTAGCCAAATGTGAAGCAGATGTACATGCTACTACAGTAGAGCCCAACATGCCAGAGATTCATCCCTTGCACTCAACCTTATGGTTAATCATTCCTGCAGACTAAGCGAAGCAGTTAAGTGGCTCCTCGACAAGTGCTACTTTCAAGATGCTATCATAGGAAACACATTGTTGAACATGATAACTCCTGTACGACCTCTGCAGCAACAGATTATTGATCGGAAATGTTAGATTCTGGCTAACAACGATGCAGCCATATTTCTCCATAGTGAAGTTGCATTTCCGGATCAGACCAAGCTTATGAAGACTTTGCATCCTGCATCAAAGATGTTAAAAGCATCACGCGATTCTCATCAACCTTCACGTCAAAAATCCTTATAAAAATACTACTAGTCCATGGTTGTATCTTGTCCTGCATTCTCTCCCTTCAATGGCAAATCAGTCTCTGGGCTCTGTACATATCCAGTCCATATCTACCCGTTCAGATGATGGGCAAATCAACCCGAGGGTGGTACGGCTGTTCGTTTCTGAGGTCATCATTGCGAAGTACTTCGACATGACAATGTCAACCATCTTAGTCTACAACATTTGTTTGTACTGCGATTTCTTATTTCAAAACATCACTAACAGAATGTATTGTTCAAGTATTAACAATGCACAAACAAGTATGCTAATCATTTTAGTATCTCAAAAGTACCTACTGACTCCATCTTTAAAGATAAGATACTTCTGGGTGAGCTCAACACCCATTCATATAGAGGCTCATAGCTAAATGATAGTCGTAAAGTCAAAGCCACGCAGTGCTATCAGTCTGCTTTACTTCACAGTGAGAGCCGACAGGTGTATAATGATCAAGCTCGCTCTAATCTCTGAGGTTCAGAACTACTACGTCGGATTCCTTTCCATGATATGGCACATCGTTAGTAAGTAGATATTTACTTGGTCTTCAAATTCACAAGAAGCAACCATTGCCAACCAACATGTTGTTCCATAACAGACGATTGTGTCAAACAAAATCGTTTGAGGTGAGATACAAATGACAATAGCAAGATTGTATACTAACCTAACGGACATCACATCACTTGTAGCTGTATGTTGCAAATCCTGACTATTAATACTTATTATTGATGTAAACTATAGGCCAGGCTGCAGGCTGGATTATTAATTTGTGTAGTGAGCCGCCTAAAGCTATTTATCATGGCTTTAATGTAACAGCATGCAACAGCCTTGATTATAATTGTCATTGTAGATTGTAAGTAAATACTACCTACCTCTAAGGTGTTTGTTTACATAGACAACTTTTTTGTAGATATCCTTCAGATTCGTGTCTTAGCACTTTATGAACAAAGTAAGCATTGTAGCCTTTAAAGAGAGTGCTCATTCGAATTCTAGCAGATCGGAGACTTTCGGTCTGTCTCAAACTCCTCCTTGTTGTGGAAGCAAGTGCGAATATTGGTCTTACTATATATAGGACTTTTTCTGAAGATGGTATGTTGTTGATAGCTAGTTAGAAAGCTGGCAAGTAAACTGAAACAACACATTTCAGCTACTGTCCTTCATCTTGCGCAGAATCTTGACGTCTGTGTGATTCACGCAACGCCTAAATCGAACACAATTATCAACATCTTCTGGTGTGTATTATATTTATATTTTGTACTCTTCTTAACGACCTGCAGGATTATTCCTTTGACATATGGATCAATTTTACTTTGTCTAGCCCTCTTCAAGGCGGCAGAGTACTGGCGGATGTCGTCCGGCTTCAAAGGGTTCTATCTTGTCAGAGTCCTCATTCAAGACCAAGTCTTATACTTTGCCTTGTAAGTGAAGCACTTGTGCATAATTGTTATTATCCGCCTCAAGTTCCATAGTGTAATATTTTGTTCTGTGCTGAAGATAGTGAAGGATCAAATAGGTCCCACGAACGATTTAATCGGAATGCTTCTCAACCTTATTAGCAGTCCAGTGCTCCTCTGTGTCCTCGGAAGCCATCTCCTAATCAATCTGAGGGAAGCAGCAGAGAGAGGAGTAAATAGAGGAACCAGCTTCTGTCTGACGACCATTAGCAACATTGAGTTCGGCAAGGGTATATCTACTTGTGTCTTTTTGACTCCTGGCTGATTTGGTGCAGGTCCCCCGGCAGCAGCACACACACATGAAGAAGGCACATTCAGTGTTTGACAATGCATCTTTGTACTCTGCTTCGAATCGTAATTGGAATCCGGCTCGTTCTTTTTGAGCTATAACAGTATTGGTCCGACTCAAATACATGGAGCATATGTACACTTGTAGTTGCTTGTACTTATTTTTTTTCTGTATCCGGACAGTTTGCTCACACTAGTGCTGGACACAATATGAAACATTATGGTTCTTTCACTCACTTATTCATTATTGCTTTTATCAGGCTTTTATTCTCTTATTCATTAGTTTGTTGTTTTGATAGCCTCTCTGATTCCAACTGTTGTCTGGACATTGCTTGGAACTCCCTTACTACTGATTTATTTTTGCTTTTGCTAGACCTTTATTTGGTAGCTTGTTGCTTATTGGACCCTTTGGAACCAATGTAGATCTATCCATTCTTACAGAAAAAGAAAATCAATAATTAGTTATTTATTTATAAAACTAGAGTCCAGAAAATTAAACAGAATCTTTTGGTTTATGAAGCTTGCAAAGAGAAGTCTCTACTCATCTGGTCAAAGTGATCAGTTTGACTAGCTTCCATACCTACTCTGGCATTGATAGGTTGATGGCAGTAACTGCTTGCTTGCACTAGCAACTAAACCAAGTCAAAAGTGATTGTTCAGTGTAAATCTAGACTTGAGGTTCAAAAAGCATACACCTATGTAGACAGGCAAGTTAACAAGCAAGTAGGGCAGAAATGCTAACTTTGACTACAATACAACCAACCAAGGCCAAACCCATATAAACATGAAGTCTGAAAACTGTCAACCCATTTGATTTTTCGCTCCATGACTGAAAACACTACTGTATATTGAGATTTGATGGAAGTGAGCAAGGAAGCAAGGATAAGGAGGAAGCAACAGAGATGCTGAAGAACATGTAAGTGTATAGAAAATTGCTTGACGAAGACAAATTGACAAATTGATGGAGACAAATGACAACAGTGATAACAGTAGCAACAGAGTAACACATAGAGTGAGAGTGTTGAAAGTGGACAATGAAAGGTGATTGAAAGGAAAAGAGAAAGAAGAACAGTGAATCGTGGTCGGAAGGAAGGTTCAAAGGTGAAAACAGATGGTAGTACAGCAGGGTAAGAGGGGATAAGACAAAATTGCAAGAGTGGTAACAGAGGCCAAAGAAAGATCGTTGAAAGACAAAAAGAAACAACATTGGTAAACACTTTAGGATCAGATGTTATTCAAATCATATTCGGCACGACAAGAACTCCCACCCATCAACGACTTGTCCTTAGGCTCAGTAGGCGCCATTCGCCTTCACTTCTTGACTCTCGTTTACATGACTCAACGCCACGTCTGTCTCCTGCAAGTCTCTCTCGCTCAGGCTGTTGTACGCACCGCCACCAGGTGTGCTTGCACCAGATCGGATCGAGTTTGCGCGCGAACGAACTTTCGTTACTAAAGGGCCACAAAGCGATTGAGTTAGAAGGATGAGGTGACAATTGATAACGATTAGAAGAGAATTGGCGTTCAAAGCAAGGATAGCCTTCCTCTTCTTCCTCCTTCCCTAGCGACATCGTTCCACGATAATTGCTCGTACTCAAGCCCTGCATCTACAAAGCAATCACAAATGTGCGTTAGTATCGACATCCCAAGCCAATCAACCATCAACCATCCATCCCGAAAAGCTACGACAACAAAGACACTTACCTCTTCCGTCAAAGTACTCCCGTATCTCCAGGCGTCGCCATCCCGGCACGTAACCTCAGACTTCCAGGTGTCGAAAACGGCGGCATCTCCACCCCAGCAGCAAAATCCTCCTCCTCCTCCTCCTCCTCACTAAATACCAAAAGAATCGATACGCATGTCTCAGCGCTAAGTGCCTCGCTTTCGAATACTCAATCCCAAAATTCTTCCAACCGAACAACAGCGAAAGCCTCTCAACGCGATTTCGCTAATTAATCCGCTGTCTCCTCGTATTGTTGCAGAATACGGTATTCCGTTAGTTGGTTGACGGACTCTTCGATAGTTCGATAGACTTCATCCGACGATCGACGATGTAGCGCCCTTCATCTGCAGGTTCCTCGATAGGACCTTGCATGAACGAGCCAAATCAGGAGAGGTTTGTCATGATATACAGTACTCCCATCTACAAAAGCGAAAAGAAAGAGGAGGGATCAGAATTTGCATCTAGGTGAGAAGCGGCGGACACAATAAAAGATAAGATCGATATAAGTACGCACAACCGTACATTCCACCGGACCGTGTCTCCACGGCTCGTAGTTGCTCGGGAAGAGGCTAAAATGGCAGCCCCTGATGAACTCCTCGTAATCCAGGCCATGAATTTGGTTGTTCGAGGTGAGGAAATCCGGGTGGAAATAATGTTGACGCGGTCATCACAGTGTGCATTGAATAGCCAGACGTGACGAATCTAATTGAGGATCTGGTCGTGCGCGTCGTCCGCCATGTTATGAGTTGTAACAGGAGACAGCGAACTGCCGTTTTGACTGCACCTTGTCTTGTTATGACAGAAGATTGCTCATTGACGGGAACTCCGAACTAGATTGACTAAGAGAGAATTAGAATCTCAATTCAAGCTCTCGAAGATCTGGAACGACTCATCCCGAGTAGCGCGCCACATGCTCGAATATACATTCACCTATACGAACCTGGATGTCGGAGACGGTATCCCGAAGTTGTTTAATGGCAGCCTGGCCTTTGAAAGCCTCCACTGTATATGATTGGGTCGTGGCAGGCATGATAATGAATGCAACAGCCATTATGGACCATGGTTACCTAAGTATGCCCGCTTTTTTGTAGTTGATAGTTCAGATACGCTAGCGATTCAACGAGTATATCGACACCGTCCAGCCGTAAACATGTACAGCGTGTTACTCCATTGAAGTCATAGTGTCCATAGAAGTGACCACGGATGAAGTTGTTGTTGTTGATCTTTGCCTTCGACGCACACGGAGGTTCTGGGATTCGTGTCTCACTTGAAACTTCAGTGTTGAGCCCATTCGGCACGACTCCGTTCGGCTTACGCTTGAGAATGTATTCGGCTTCGTACGCAGTGATACGCGATACGGTCGTGAACACATCCGCACAATGTGCTGCAGGCTGCAGAATGTTCTATGCAGTAGCGATGGTAAATACATGTACGTACGTAGTACCTACCGTGCTTCAGATTTCAATATCACGTGATGTGGAATGAATTTCAGCGACGAGAAGCGTCCTCCTCCAGGGGCGAACAAACAATCCCGGACACGTTCTTTAGGCATCCTGCTTAGGCTCAAGCCTCCTAAACTTAAAGCCATCATAGTGATTACGAGCTGTTTGCTCATGCAACAAGTACTGAATTTGAAAATTGCACAACTTGCACTAGAAATTAATACTATGGAATCAATTATCAGAGGCATCTTGCCTCTCCTTCGCCTGTTCTTATCACAACTTTAACATGTTACTTTTAGAACAAATGGCAGTTTTCTGCTCTTATAAATACTTACATTGTTATATTAGTATCTCGTCCTTGATCATTTCTGCCTGTGCATATTCTGAATCACTGATTACTGTAAGTAAGTGTACAAGCTTTGCTATAACATTTGCTTTGATGAAAGCTACTTCCAGGCACTAATTGTAATATGGCCGACCAGATGAACGGATGCAGAAGTGATATCCTTGTGAAAAGAGTCACAATAAGCAAGCCTGACACACTAAGCCTGATTCATAGGACTTCTTATATTGTGGCAAATCAAATTGGCAGCATTGTATTTGACACACCATTGTGAGTCCATATGCACCTCACTTTCATGTTATTACCTTATGTGTGTAAGGATAGTGGATGAAGGCATAATTGAAGCCTGGTAAAGAAGATATAATGGTCAAAGATTTAATGAGCCAATCCAGACGATGATTCGGGCGAGCAATCAACCTGCGTTGGCAACCGGATCTGCACTGACAATTGAATACGATTATCCCCATGCAATCTTTGCTGCGAGAGGTCATCGATCGGGAACGTTGATTTCTACCTGGCAGAGGTGGAGTCTCATTTCTCCACATAGATATTGCATACTAAGGCCAAGACTTCTAGCAAAGACTTCGCGTTGTGCATCAAAGATGCTCGGAGCATCACGCGATTCACATCACGTTTCATGTCAAAATCCTTATAAAAGCACTGCTATCCATGGCAGCATCCTGCCCTGCATTCTCACCCTCTAATGGCAAATCAGTCTCTGGGGCCGAGTCTGGGCTACGTACATATTCATTCGTTACTTATCCGTTCAGATGACACGCCGATCGACCCGAGCGTGGTACAGCTGTTCTTTTCCGTAACCATCACTTCAAAGTACTTCGACTTGGCAATGTTGACCATCCTAATTTACAACACTTGTTTGTACCGCGATTTCTTGTGCCAAATCCTCACTAACGGAGTGTATTATTCAAGTTTTAACAATGTACAAACAAGTATGATAATTATTCTAGTAACTTACAATTACCAATTGATTATATCTCCGCAGATAAAATACTTCTGGGTAAGTGCAACATTCATTCACATACAGGTTTATGGCCTACTAACAGGTTCAAAGTCCAAGCCACGCAGCACTATTAGTTTACTTTACTTGACAGTGAGAGCTACCAAGATGAATGATATCTTAGCTTGCTCTAATATCTGAGGTTCAGAATTGCTACACCGGAATCCTTTTCGCGATTTGGAGTGTGATTGGTGAGTAGATATTACATTATGTAGGGACTTACATGAAGCAACTGACAATGTTGTTATACAACAGGCGATCGCTTCAGGCAAAGTCGTTTGAGGTCAGGAATAACTAACAGTATCGAGACCGTATACTAACCTCTATTGTGAACATGTATAATTTATAGCTGTACATCGCAACTCCTGACTATTAATTCTTATTACTGACTTAACCTTAGGCCAGGCTGTATTTTGGATTATTAATTTGACCAGTGAGCCACCTAATGTTATTATTATGACTAACAATGTAACGTCATGCAACAGTCCCGATCATAATTGCCCTTGTCGATTGTAAGTAAACGCTACCTGTCTCTCAAGGAGTTTGTTTGAACAAACAACAATTTTTTAGACGTTCTTCAGATCCGTGTCTTAGCCCTTTATGGGAAAAGTAAGCATTTTTGTCTTTAAGGAGATTGCTCATTCAAATCCTAGCAGATATGAGACTTTCAGTCTGTCTTAAAGTCCTCCTTGTTGTGGAAGCAAGTGTGAATATTGCTCTTACTATTTATTTATCTTTCTCTCAAGATGGTACGGTTGTTAATACTCATTTTGGAAAGCCGACAAGCGAACTGAAACAGTACACTTCAGCTACTGTCCTTCATCTTGCACAAAACTTTGATGTTTGTACAACCAATGAATCACCGCAGTTGAATACAATTATTAACGTCTTCTGGTGTGTATAAAAGCTAAATTCTGCATGCTTTTCCTCTAACAGTTTATAGGATCATTCCTTTGGCATATGAGACAATTTTACTTTGTCTAGCCCTCTTCAAGGCAACAGAATACTGGCGGACGTCACCTGGCTTCAAAGGGGTTTACCTCGTTAGAGTTCTCATTCAAGACCAAGTCCTATACTTTGCCTTGTGAGTTCAGCACTTATACATAATTATCAATGTCCGACTCAAGTTTCCATAGTGTAATATTCTGTTCTGTGGTGTCAATAGTGAAGGATCAAATACACCCTACAAACCAAATAACCGAAGTGGTTCTCAATCAATCTGCTAATCCGGCGCTCCTCTGTGTCCTCGGAAGTCATCTTTTAATCAATCTGAAGGAGGCAGGGGAGAGAGGAGTAAATGGAGGGACCAGTTTTCTGTTGACAACTATAAGCAACATCGAATTTGGCAAAGGTATATTAACTTGTGGTTTGCCATTCTGAATAAGGCTGATTTATTATAGGTCCTCCAGCAGTATTGGACACGAACGAAGAAAACACATCCAGTGTTTGATGACACGTTCCCACTGCCATCTTCACTCGTTCTGCCTTAAACTATAATTGTTTGATCTGTGGAACACACATTTATGTCTTATCACTTATTCCTTGTACATATGTACTAAATAAATTTGTCTATTTGTTCGGTGGCCTTCTGAGTCCTTTCTTGCTGACTATAATTTCTTGGAATCTTGATGGTTTATTTACACACGTAATGTACACTACTTGAGTATTATTCCACCCCATCTTTTTTCTTCTTGTCTTTGCTACTTTTTTTCTTATTACTTTTTGCTTGATTAGACTCCAGTCAGCAGACTTAGTAGTTGCTTGTTTGTTCTTGGCAAATAAATTTCTAAAACACTGATTATTTATTTATTTGTAATAATGACTATTTCTCTTTCAGAGTCTACATAATTGGGCCGGTCCTTGTAGGTGTGTGGGCAATGTTCTGTTTGTTTAAGCCGAGAGCTCTACTCTGCAATTGTGAATGCAGATTATAGTCAAATTTGAAAGAAAGGAAGGATACGTGAGCAGGGATCTAATATTCCTTCAACCCAAACTTCTAAAGTACCTAAATATACTTTTTTTATCTAATATCTACCTTCTAGAAGCCTCTAAAATAATTCTATCTTGGACAACGCCGGGACGAAGCACTCGTATCGGATATGCTCACTCTGTTATCAACGGGTCATGATGCGAATGGTCGAGAAGAAATCCGAAGCAAGCATAAACGCAAGATGAAGGTAGATTGAAAAGAAGTTTGGAAAGAATGAGTAAAGATCCAAGCAGAAGATAATTGCGAGATGAATAAACAATTCAAATCACAGCACAATATAAGTGAATTTTTATAAGGATGATCCGAAACCGGGACAATTCGGGACAAGATGGGACAACAGTGATTAGGGACAGCCAATCAATAACAGACACGAGAGCAATAAGTCGAGAAGCGGAGATGGGAAAGGGGGTCAAAAGTCAGCAAAGCAGTGAACTGGAATACGGCTATAGTTTAATCAAGCCGCTTACGCTTGACGGATCCATTTGCGTCTGCATTGGCACTTGCGAAGTACTCGAGCGAGCCCTTCGGGTCGGCTTTCATTGTTGCACCACCCTCCTGCCAGTTTGCAGGACACACTTCACCGTGCTTATCCTGAACAATATCAGCACAAGTTAGTTCCATTCTGTCTGAAGAAATGGATGGATTGGAAACGCACAGTGAATTGGAATGCCTTAACAAGGCGAAGGGTCTCCTCAACTGAACGGCCGACAGGAAGATCGTTCACAGTGATCTGGCGGAGCGTACCCTTCGGGTCGATAATGAACAGTCCGCGGAGAGCAACGCCCTCATCTTCAAGTAGAACACCATAGTCGCGTGAGATCTTCATCGACTTGTCGGCGAGGAGTGGGAGCTTAAGGTCTGGGCCAAGACCACCCTCTGAGCGTGGACGTTGTGTCCATGCAAGGTGTGAGAAGTGCGAGTCGGTAGAGACACCTAAAGATCGAGTGGGGATAACTAAGTTAATGACTATTGAGGACTGCTTGGAAAAAAAACACACCGATTACAGTCGTGTTAATAGCCTTGAAGGCAGGGAGGTTATCGTTGAACGCAAGAATCTCGGTTGGGCAAACGAACGTGAAGTCCCTTTGATATAAGTCGTGTATCAGTTTTCATTCCGTACTTTCCCCAAGTCCACTTCTCCGACGCGATAAGGGAAGGACAAAGCTCACATTGGGTAGAACAGCAGCACGACCCTTTTAAAAAGGTTAGAAAACATGCAATTATCAGATAAGCAACGCGTATCGACACGTACCATTGCCCGACAAAATCCTTTGATGCGATATCAGTAATAACGCCATCTACGACAGCCGGGCCAGCAAACTCAGGTGCAGGCTTCTGGACTTGCGCAACCATTTTTTCGTGTGTGTTAAAAATGTGTAAGAAAGAGGACAAGAGTAGTCTCAAAGACAAAGGTGACGGTGGTTGGACGATGAAATTGAAAAGACGCCCTCCGCTGGTAACGCGTCGCGTTATATATCGTAACGCCTACTCAAACTGACGAAACAGGAACTTTTCGGGTTCGGGTGGCACTATTTTTTCTTTGCCTTCCAAAAGTTTCTTTCCTTCCGTCTTTTCGGCCGATTCAGGGTCACTATCGCAAATTTCCCTGACTCAGAATTTTGACTTTGTAAGCAGCTCCTCGTGACAGCATGTGATCGTCTGTCAAGAGGATTACTTGACCTCCTTTCGAAGAAACCATCACGATGAAGACGCCAATGCACCTTTTGCATGACTTCGGAGGACGGAATCAATCGTAAGAAGGCATCTTGCCGATCCCGAAGCGCGTCAATTCAATTTTACTACTAGAGTGGGAACGTTCATTTTGGTCCAATGACTAACAGAGACTCCGACCAGTCATGTGAGCCTCTCTGGGATACACCAATCAAAGGTCAGAAGTCTTTATACGTTGTGTCAACCCAACTGAAACGTTCTCCTGTGAGCTTTGAAACCATAACATTCCGTAACAGTTGCTATTGAATCAAGGTAACATTTTAATCAATTTTCCACAAGTATAATACAAACAAATAACTTTATTTTGTAACCCTTTAGCCTTATGCGCTGCCCTTTGTCTTTAACCCAAGAACATCCAGATAAAAGTCCAGTTCTTGCTCAAGCGCAGCAATGATCGTCTCAGCTTTCCGCCATCCGTGTCCTTCACCTTCAAAGAGCGTATATTCGACGCGACCACCATGATCACGAATGACCTTCATCATTCCTTCTGCTTGAGAGGATGGGACGACTTTATCCTCCGATCCTTGTAGTATCTACCAAGTACGATCGATAAAAGGTGACGTGCAAGGGAAACTAAACTTGAAATTCACGAGAAGCGGAACCTTAATCTTCTGTGCATGGAACACCGCACTCCTCGCTCTCCAAATATGTGGAATCTTATCTGCAGGTCCACCAAGCAACTTTTCTCCATATCTCGACTCGAACTTATGCGAATCTTCCACAATTGTGAATACATTCGAGATCCCATAGCTTGAGGTGCCGACCGCGAAAACATCCGGGGGAGTGGAACAGAGAGATAGGAGAACTTCGTACCCGCCTGCGGAGCTGCCAGTTATAACTACACGGGCAGAATCAATCTCGCCGAATTCAGGTGAAGCGAGAGCGCGTGCAGCATCAACGCAATCGGCCACGTCGATAACGCCCGAATTGCCGTATAGGCGCTGGCTGATGAACCACAAATCACAATAAACAAGATGCTTTTCACATGTTGATATGGATCAAACTATATCTTACATGTATTCCCGTCCGTATCCGGAAGATCCACCATAATTAACATCGACCCACGCAAATCCGCGGCTGGTAAAGTATTGTTTCTTCAGATTGAATGCCTGGTTAGCCATACTAGTTGGCCCTCCATGTGCAGATATGATACAAGGAGGACGTTCACCGCTCTGTCCAGTGAAGCTCGGATTCGTCGGTGGGTAGAAGATGACATACAGCGGAGAACCTTTGCGTCCTTTGAACGTCAGCGGACGGGGTGCAGAGAAGAACGTCTTGTCAATCTTCCCCACCTTGGGGTCACTCGCATCTCCACCTGCAAGTGTGCTGAACTTTGTTTCTCTGGATTCATCCCACTCGATGTGTACAATCTCCACAGGCGTATCCGTCCTATTCGCAAGAAGCACTGCGGAGTGAGGACCTGTGCGTCTGATATTACTCATGACTGCGTAAGGCGTAGGAATCTCTCGGACGGTCCCACTCTTAAGGTCGAGGATGTACAAAATAAAGCGTCCATCTCGAAGAGCAATGCAGGCTGCTTCGTTCTCTGATAAAACCGCAGAGGAAGCAGCGCCGAGTTGCCAATCCGGTTCCGCAAAATCCTGATCAAGAGGAGTGGGAAGAATAGGGCGGGGCTCGGATGAAGACTCCATAACGTCGACAATCCACGGATTCTGGAACCCGGACTCATCGCTGAAGAATAGTAGCTTGCTTGACCCAACCCATCGGGGCTGGACCGCACTCTCTTTCTTCCACTCTCCCTTGATTTTCTTCACGTTCTGCAAAGCAAGGGTATCTCCCTCAGCAATTACGTCTGCAACGTGAATTTGCGATCCATCCCATGGCATATCCGGATGATCCCATTGGACCCAAGCAAGATGAGTCCCATCAGGATTGAACGCGGGAGCAGCGTAGAAGTCTGCGCCTGAGACTAGTGGATGGACCGTGCTTGACAACGTATCAATTGTCACGAGTGATGTCTTAACGTCTGAAAGTTTGCAATTCGTATGGTCTTCGAGAATGGAGACGAGCAGATGTGGGGCAGTCGGGTGAACGGCAAAGTTAGCAAATCGATGATTCTTGTTTTCTATGTGCATTTTGTTAGCAAAGTTTGCCTAGATCAGATGGGAAGAATGAGTCATGAAAAGCAGGTGTAAATATAATGCCACCGTAGACGAATGACGACGTCAACAGCAGACTATATGCGCATATAGCGTGCGGGAGGCGCTTGTTGATATTGCAAGTCTCAGAATGAGATTGAGGACAAATGATACATTAGAAAGAAACTATGCCCTCACCTGGAGTCACTGGAACAGGTTCATTGCCCTTGTCGTTTCGATTTACCTTGTACACCCTCCCGTCTCCAAAATTTGAAAAATACACAACACCACCATACACAATGGCACTCGCACCACCATACTCCTGCACACCAGTTCGTGAATTCCAACCTTTTCCAAAGATATCTTTCTTCGTTGTCGTTTCTACAATAACGTTACGCCCAGCTTCAGAAGGACGCCTCTCGATGTGATAGATTCCGTTTGCATCGGGATGCACACGAGATGGAATTGGGTCGACGAGCACGTCGTCGTATGAAATTCCAGCTTTTGCAACATACGCTGCACTGATGGGTGAATCCCATGTGCCGAATGGTAAAATATTAGGAGCCATCTTGGGTTGTTTAACGTCTAAGGTCAACAAAGAGCTCGGGAGTCTCAATATATATGCAGTCAATTAAATATGTGTGTAGTCAATCAAATAACGCGCAGTCAATCAAACTCATGCGCAGCTAATATTGATACGCGACATGATATGTGCACATGCTCGACTTCAGCATACTGATTTACATGCGGAAGTGGCAGTGGCACGTTCCGCCTGCGAGTTCCATCTTGGCGTCGTTCGGGGTTTGTGATAACAGGCAACCAAATAAGTACACACTACCTATCACAGTCGACACGTGTGCTCGTCCTCTGTACTACTTGACCTTGTGCCACTATCATCTTCTATTGTCCCATGCCTTTTTGCTTTGTAGTCTCTGTTTTGCTGTACCCAGCTAGAGAAATGGGCCTTCTACTCAAGTATATAGTGGCGGTCAAAAGTATTGCACACTTTCAATTCTCTTCTTTCATTTTGCAGTTAGTAGTAAACAATTAATAGTTATAGTTATACAATGACAAATTTCTTCTATTACTCTTGTACGAAGATAACATTTTGATCCATTTCTCTTACGTATAATACAAACAAATTACTCCTTTCCTCTAGTCCTTAGCCTTATGAACTTTCCTTTGTCTTTAATCCAAGAACATCCAGATAAAAGTCCAGCTCTCTCTCAAGTGCGGCAATGATTGTTTCCGCTTTTCGCCAGCCATGTCCTTCTCCTTCAAAGAGCGTGTATTCGACACGACCACCACGCTCACGAATAACCTTCAGCATCTCTTCCGCCTGAGAAGGTGGGACGACTTTATCCTCCGATCCTTGTAGTATCTACCGAGCATAATCGATAAATGACGTAGTGGAAAGGAAACAAGTATTGAAGCTTACAAGAAGCGGAACCTTGATTTTCTGCGCGTGAAACACTGGACTCCTCGCTCTCAAAACATGCGGGATCTTATCTGCAGGTCCACCGAGCAACTTATCTCCATATTTCGACTCGAACTTATGCGTATCCTCTGCGAGTGTGAAGAGGTTCGAGATACCGTAGCTTGATGTGCCTGCTGCGAAGACACCTGTGGAAGCGGAGCAGAGGGATTGCAGGACAGTGTAGCCGCCTGCAGAGCCACCTGTGATGAATACCCGTGCAGGATCAATTTCGCCGAATTCTGGAGAAGCGAGTGCACGGGCGGCATCGACGCAGTCGGTTACGTCGATGAGGCCCCAATTACCGTCAAGTCGTTGACTGGTGAATCGCAAACCGGAATAAGCTCAACGATTTTCAAGTAGCATATGGATGGAACAAGATATTACATGTATTCTCGTCCGTATCCAGACGACCCGCCGTAATTAACATCGACCCATGCAAATCCGCGACTCGTAAAGTACTGCTTCTTGAGACTGAATGCCTGGTTGGTCATACCAGTCGGTCCTCCGTGTGCAGAAACGATACATGGTGGCCGTTCACCATTCGGTCCAGTGAAGTTCGGGTTCGTTGGTGGGTAGAAGATAACGTACAACGGAAACCCTTCACGTCCTTTAAACGTTAGTGGACGAGGTGCAGAGAAAAACGTCTTATCAACTTTCTCTGCATCAGCATCACTGGAATCCCCGCCCACGAGTGTACTGAACTTCGTTTCTCCAGACTCATCCTGCTCGACATGAACAATCTCCATGGGCGTGTCAGTCTTACTTGCAAGGAATACCGCAGAATGAGGACCCGTGCGTCTGATATTCTTCATGACAGTATAAGGAGTAGGAATTTCCTGGACAGTCCCGTTCCTGAGGTCAAGGACGTATAAAATAGAACGTCCGTCTCGAAGAGCGATGCAGGCTGCCGCGTTCTCTGATAAAATTGCAGAGGATGTAGCGCCGAGAGACCAATCCGGCTCCGCGAAATCTTGCTTAAGAGGAGTAGGAAGGACAGGACGGGGTTCGGACGAAGACTCTGCAACATTGACGATCCATGGATTTTGGAATCCCGACTTGTCAGAGAAGAATAGCAGTTTGCTTTTTCCGACCCATCTTGGCTGGACTGCACTCTCTTCCTTCCACTCTCCCTTGATTTTCTTCACGTTCTGTAAAGCAAGGGCGTCTCCTTCGGCGATAACATCCGCGACGTGTACTTGGGAGCCATCCCAGGGCATGTCTGGGTGATCCCACTGGACCCAGGCAAGTCGAGTTCCTTCAGGATTGAACGCTGGTGCGGCATAGAAATCAGCACCCGAGATTAACGGATGAACCGTGTTAGACAGTGTGTCAATTGTTACGAGTGAAGTCTTGACGTCTGCGGGTGCGGGATTCGTATGGTCTTCAAGAATAGAAACAAGCAAATGTGGAACAGTTGGGTGAGCGGCGAAGTTGGCAAATCGATGGTTCTTGCTTTCTGTATACATCGTATTAGCATAGGATTACCGGATCAAATATAAACATGTCAACTGTCAAAAGGGGGTATAAATAAAACGTTACTGCGACTTGATAATAATATCAACAGCAGACTATATGCGCATAGAATGCAAGGCACTCAATGTCATCGTAGATCACAGAATGCGATTGACGAAGCCAAAAAAATTAGAAAAGAAGTTATGATCTCACCTGGAGTCACCGGAACAGGTTCATTGCCCTCGTCATTTCGGTCGACCTTGTATACCCTTCCATCTCCAAAGTTCGAAAAATACACAACCCCACCGTACACAATCGCGCTTGCACCACCATACTCCTGCACACCAGACCGTGAATTCCAGCTTTTTCCAAGAACATCTTTCTTCGTTGCCGTTTCTACGATAACGTTACGCCCAGCCTCTGAGGGCCGCTTCTCGATGTGATAGATTCCGTTGGCATTGGGATGTACACGAGAAGCAATCGGGTCAACGAGTACATCGTCGTATGAGATCCCCGCTTTCGCAACGTACGCTGCGCTGATTGGTGACTCCCATGTCCCGAATGGTGAAACATTGGGGGCCATTATATTCGACGCCTATGGTTATCAAAGAGCTTGAGAATTCGACTCGAGGTGAAAAGGCGAATCAGTTCAGTTATATGCACCGTTAATCAATTGAAACGACACGTGAGCAAGTTTCTGAGCGATGCACGTGATCCTTTCTCGACACGTTTCGCTTCTCGCCCTGCGTGTCATTCGGAATTTCAGCGACAACGAGCGACAAAATGCATAGTATCTACCAACGATTCAGCAACATCTCAGCTCTGCTGTCGACATGTATGCTCGCCCTCTTCGGTGCTATCTCCATCTCGTCCCTACTCTTCACTGCTGACCCGAAGGGCACGCTCTCTATTTCGAGCATCAATGTCCATCCTGGGAGGAACAACCATTTCCATCAACGGAATCATGAGTTCAGTTTCGTTAGATTTAACGTGTCTGCAGGTGTGCTATCTTTGCCTACGTTCTGCTGGCTTGTTTTGCTTAATAGTACTTTGATCGATGCACAGACTTGACACCTCTCTTCAACTGGAATACAAAGCAGCTCTTCCTCTATATTGGCGCTGAATTCACGAGTGCAGATGGAACGCAGAACGAAGTGGTTATCTGGGATCGAATCGTGCGTCGTAAAGAAGACGCCGTAATCAACGTCTCGAGCAAGTCGAAATATGTGTTACGTGACATGGCGAGGACGTTCGAGTACGTGTTATTTCAGTACTTCTTTTCCAGGTCGGTTTAACTAAGCATCATATTTGTTTAACAGGAAAGTATCACCAGCAAACTATACTCTGAAGTATAACGTGATGCCGTATATCGGGTTGCTAACGTATGGAGAGGCAGCACGGACGAATGAACCTATCGCTTTCCCCGCTGCGCAAAAACGAGTTACATGATTGTACAATATACCCGTAATTAGAGGTTTATGATCTTCCTCTGGGATTTCTTTTTTCTTTTCTTTTCTTTTCTTTTTCTGTTGACTCTGGAACAAAATTTTACTGGCTGAATTGTATTTCAAAAACTTCTGTGCAAATGCGTAGCTGAGGATCACGGGTGAAGGATACTAGTTCAACATGTGCAATCTGTTGATGTGGCCGTCGCTCAGAGTGGGTAGATGATGGGCGATCGGACCAATGCGAACCGTCTTCAAGGCAACCGAGCTCTCATCCGTATTTGAGAAGCCGATTTGCGCGTTTACGGATTTCTGTTGTGTCCGTTTCTCTCACAGCATTTCGCCTCTGGTCTTGCTAGCCAATAAAAATGCCGAGTTGGTTGGCATCTAGGTACATCCATCGTATCAAGGCCCTGCAGCTTATTATTATCCCCACAAACATTCCTGAGCCTGAGTTCCTATAGATAGAGAATGTGCCTGTGGGGGTAGTTGAGATTGAAAGCCGTGACATCCGTTCAAGGTCGCCTTGCATCTAGAACTTGATCAATGCATCGAGTTTGTATATTTTTCTTCTCTTGCATGGTGTGTTCGTTGAATGTTGAGTTGCCAAGTCTAGATCAATGTGTGTTGCAGTTCAATCGTTATGAAACGCGGACAGCCTGCTCTCGCCTCCGTACTAAGCAGGCACGTCCTTATTAGTAGAATAAGCCGTATTCTACCTTTTGTTTGCTTGTTCGTCTGCACGGTTATCTCTTCACCAGGATATTCCCACACATCGGCTTTAAGTTTAACAATATCAACTAATGAACGGCCGAGCCGTTATACTCTCTGCTTTTAAGAAGCCGACTCTCGCGCTTTCGGTACTTTGGCTCTCCTGCGTCTGTCATCCTTCCCGACGCTTATATTCTCTACGCGGACGCGGTGCACACCAAAATAGCATTAAATTAAAGTAGAATAAGGCTTTGCCATCGGACCGCGTTACTATCCGTTGACATGCCACAATCACAAACCCAGCAAAATGCGCGAGTAGCAATATCGAGCAAGTTCCGCTCAAAGCTGTTTCTCTACCTATCAAACAAGCCTAGTTTGCAATAATACTGTATGGTATACAGTAAAGAACAAGTCCTGAGCCTGTTCAATGAATTTGTAAACCTAGTTGGTTGGACAGACCTGATTCCCTGGTGTGTAATATTTCGACCAATGTTAGCACATATTCAGTGCACTTTGCTATGTGTTATTTGCTCTTTTTATTTCATATTTCGATACTTCTTGTGATGTCCGTTCAAGACCGTATAGGAACTGGACATATCGGAAATCGTTGCCTAATGTGCAGTATCCATGTAGACCGTGTTTCAAAATGCGACGAGATGAGTCTTTCTGTACTCTGTAGGGATTGTGTACTGACTGATATTTGTTGTTATTAGAACTGTACATCCACTTAACAGTATCTTAAACAAGCTCAAGCCAATAATATACTGTTTGGATGAGAATTAACTCCACCGTATATTAAGGTTTGTTCATTTGACTTAATTTTTTTCAACCTGTGAGGCCAATAGGAGACCTTGGTGTCCCTATACAAAACGAAGCCAAGGCGCCCAGGAACAAGGTCTGCTGGATTGTATTCTTGATACCAAGACATACGATTTTACAAAGTCCAAGAATATCGCAACTATAATGATGCTCTCTTCTGCGCCTCTCGTCGAAATATGAATTCCGGTGGACTTCTGAATTGCCATCAGGCCTCTTTACTGCATATCACAAAACGTTCGGGTAAATAATGTATGCGATATTCGGTTGAGTGTGTGAGATACATGGTTGATCTCGGAGGTTTCGCCTTTCCACTTTCGTTGAACTGGATCAATTTGGATGTTGAACGAATAGGGAAAAGATATGGGATTACAAGAAAAACACAGGTGAGGATAGAAAAGAAACAGTATAAAAAGAGGGTGTATCACTGACATTTCCAGCCAGAAGTCCTAACTGCAGTCTTCACCCAGTCCTACTCTCTCAGCTTCTTTTTCAGTACTAGCAGCAACAGCCAGCGAACGAACGAAAGAGCGATGAAACTCCTCACCCTCATCCCATTCTTCCTCACCACTCTCACCTACGTCATCGCCATACCCCTCGCGTCTCCCCAAGAAAATGCAGACTGCTCCGAGAACCACAACCACATCCACTGTCTCCTTCGGCGTTTCCCAACGAACGAACCAGACTGCTCCGAACACCCGATTCACTGTCTCCTCAAACGCGCTGCCACACAAGAGGAAGAAGAAGAAGAAGAGGAACCCGATTGTTCCGAACATCCGATTCATTGTCTTTTGAAGAGGGTTGCTACTGCTGCTGCTGCTGAGGAGCAGGACGAGCCGGATTGTAGTGAAGCTCCAATTCATTGTCTCTTGAAGAAACGGATCCCGCAGGATTGTGCTGATCACCCTATTCATTGTCTCGTCGAACGGGCTGCTCAACCAGACGCAGACTGTAGCGAGCATCCGATTCACTGTCTCTTGAAACGCGCTGTGCGGGGAGAAGGAGAACCCGATTGTAACGAACATCCGATTCATTGTTTGTTGAAGAGAGCTGCACAGGAGGAAGGGGAACCTGATTGCTCTGAACATCCGATTCATTGTCTTTTGAAGAAGGCTGCTGAACCGCAGGACGAGCCTGATTGTAGTGAAGCCCCGATTCACTGTTTACTTAAACGTGAGCTTTGATTCGCGCAAGCTGCTGTGATATGTTGAGGGCAGAATTGGTAAGCCCTGTTGTTTGCTATTGTAATTTGCATAGATTCTTGAATAGCGCTAACTGACATATGTTAGTAGAACGTCTGTGCAAGATTTGGGTTAATTTGATCTGGGATGAATAGTATATACGTAGCTTCTCGGATGCGTCTAGAATTGTTGGGTTCTGGAGTTGGTATGCGTGATCTTTGTATTTAATTATCCTCGTGTTTCTTTTGTGTTTCGTAACTGAGGTTTCAATGCTTCTTAATGACGTGAAAAAGAAGACGATGTTGACGAGGATGTCTAAATAGTTTATCAGTATATTTTGTCAAGTTAGCGAAAGCGGAAAGGCAAGCACCGTCTATAGCCAGTTATCATCGGAGCTCAAGCATCAACCGTTCATAGCCTAAATGCAAATACTTCCATCCGACGACGGCACAGCTGGTACGTTCGTTCCGTTCGCTCGTAGTATATATATCCGTTATGCTTGGCCAATAGAGCGTAATAGACTAGAATAGAGCACGGCAGGCAACCTTTCATGTGGCTGCATGAACATGTGACTGGCTATGTGAGAAAACACAAATGGAGGGATAAAAAGGGATAAAAGAGTAAGATTCTATGAAACAAAGTTTTCGAAACCGCCGATTGCCGGGGAGGGTAAGAAGAGATGTGTTAGATTCGCGTTCTTAAGCCGTACTAGTGGGCGGCAGAATCGGTAGATGACGCTGGAGCACACAGCGAGGAAGAGCTTTAAGAAGCGAGAGGAGAGAGGATGTGAGGACGTAGAGAGACGTATGACGGTAGTTGACGGAATGACAGAAAGACAACGTGTGTTTTCGGAACGAGGTGCCGTTCTTCGTCACTCGTATGTCGTGGCTACGATGTGATTCATTGTGAATCTGACGAGAAATCTGAGTGACGGAGACAATGGGGGGTGATGATCGTCGTGTCGATCGCTGTGACGCTAACACACTCGGCTGACGCAATTCGCTTCCGTGCACGGTCACCCAAAAATATCCCTCGTCCGAGAGGGAGAGCGCGTGACGCCACGATGGAATCCTTCTCTGACCTTGCCTGGCCCGTTCTTCCTCCGGCTTGCCCAGCGAGACAGGGTCAACTGACTCCATCTCATTCTATTTTTTTATGCGAGCGTTGTTGCGCCGAGAGTTTTGTTGATTTATTCCAAGCGATGGTGTCGCATGGCTTGCCACGGACATATTTTCATTTTAAATAAAGAGATGACGGGTTTAAGAGTGGGTTCGCCCCAACAGGTTCTCTCCTCTCTGCCTACTACTACTGGGTGCTAGTGGATTACTGGTGCTACTAGTGGCGCAAGCCTCCTCGCTTCGCCTCACCCCTGCTCGCTCTCTCGGTCTTCGTCCCTCGTTCGTCCGTCCCTCCTCTACACCATGCCCCGCGTGTCCTTCCTCCTTGCGAGTGCTCTCGCTCTTTTATTACCACACCTTCAAAGATATACTACTGCTAAAGCGCAGAGTGTTACTGTCTCTGTACCGGTTTCTAAACCGTCGAACGCAGCTCCGCTTGACCAAGGCTTGATTTCGTTTTCTATCGAGCAGGATAGATGGGTTGATTGGGCGGGTAAGAATGAGCCTAATGGGTTCTTTCTTAATACGCTTGAGAACTTGAGAGAGAGACAGGGAGGGACGCCTTGGATCCGGATTGGTGCGAACTCGGAGGACCATACGGATTTTAGTTTCGATGTTCAGGTGTGCCGTCACTCTTCTTCTACTGTCCAGTTCTGCATGTAGCTTACAGAAAGTTGTATGTGTACGTGATGGAAAGTTCTCCGAAACGATCTTCCCCACCCCCTCCGCATCAATGCCCTACCCCGAAGCAACAAACATAACAGTCGGTCAAAAATACTACAACCTCGCTTCACATCTCCCACGCGGGACGCACGTCATATGGGGCGTTAACCTTGGTAGTGATAACATCACTGCTGCTTTCCTTGAAGCGCGTGCTATTAAGACGGCTTTTGAGAGTGGGGAGGTGAAGGGAAAGGGGGTGGTGCTTGAGGGGGTGGAGATTGGGAATGAGGCGGATTTGTATGGGGGGAATGGGCATCGGAACCCGGCGAATTGGACTGTTGCGGAATATGTTAAGGAGTGGGTGGTCGATATTATTTTTATTCCGATTCAAGTGGCTAACATGATTTGTTTTTTGTTTTTTGTTATTATTACAGATGGACGACTTTCGCGAAGAACGTCTCCGTAGCAGCAGGTGTCAGCCAAAACGGACCCAAGTTCTTTGGATTAGCGTTCAGTCATAATGCACATTCGGGTACGGCGTTTTCGTTTGAGAATGCTGTGAAGGATGGGTTGTTGGATTCGAGGGAGGGGAAGTTGATTAATGAGTGCGTCTCTTTCTTTCAATGTTATTTTTGTTTTTTTCCGACTTCGGGTTTCTCTCTTGTGATTTGTGTTAATGTGATTTTAAATTTGGGGTTGTGTAGGATATCACAGCATATGTACTTCGGAAGCGGAGTAGCAGGCGTTGCTAATCTCCCGACTCTCATGTCCAAGACGCTTATTCGAGGGAACGTGTCTTCGCTCAAGCAGGATGTTGCTGATGTTCATGCGAAGGGGTTGGGATATGTCCTTGGGTGCGTTTTCCCTTTCCCGATTTTCGTGTTGAGTGCTTACGATTCCCTTCCGTCCGTTCTATCGCTCATTGTTCTCATTTCGAATGTTGATGGGGTGTGAATTGACTTTATGCATGGATGTTGACGTGCATTCATTGGGGCTTTGGATTTCTCCGCCGGATGATATTGGGTTCCTTGCTTTGATCGACGATGACAACTTCTCTTGGCCTTGGGGTTCTCTTCCATTCCGTCGGACTTTGACAACTTCGATGAACTACCGCTTTATGTCCTATGTCTGGTCTCGGTTCTTTGGTGGTTCCGAAACGTAAATGCTTCGATGCGTAAATGCGGATGATGCATTAATATGGGTGATGCATCTGGGCCGGGGCCGGTTGATAATGCATGCGCTCGGACTCGGACTCGGACACGAACGCGATTTTCGGAATCAAAAAATGGACCTGATATTGACCTGGACATAAATCGGATGCAATTCCGTCGCCGGACAAAATCAATTCTTGGCATTGGACTCCTTCCTTCCTTCGAACGTACTACCCGGTATGTATGCGTGCCGGACTTACGCGAAACAGTGAGACGAACAGCTACTTCAGTCACGGTGCACCTGGCGTGAGCAACGCAGCGGGTGCGGCAATCTGGTTAACCGACTATACGCTGCTTGCTGCATCGCTTGGTGTGAAGCGGATGCATTTCCATGAGGGTGTTGGGTTTAGGTATAACTTGGTGCGTATCGCATACTTATTCCTGTTACGAATATTTTCCTTCTATGCGTCAGTATCTAATTAACGTGGATAGATCCAACCCGTCACTCTAACCCGCTCAATCATCGACGCAAGTCCGATCTCCCCACTCCCTCCACATATCCAACCAACGTACTACGGTGCACTCATCGCAGCTGAAGCAGTCGGCACTTCTGGCTCCTCTTCCGTCGTCGAGCTCAATATCAATGATAACACGTTATCGGGGTATGCGGTGTTTGAGAAGGGCAAGGTGGAGAGAGTGGTGTTGATTGATTCGGATGCGTTTTTGAAGGGAGATAAGGTTAGGGGTGGGAGGAACGTTACGCTTAGCTTTTCGGCTGGTTCGGTGTCGGGGTTGGTGGATGGGAAGAGTGGAGGGAGTGTTAGTGTTAAGAGGTTGAATATCGGGTGCGTTTTATCCTTTTATCCTTTGTGTTCTAATATTCTGAATATTTCTCCCTCTCGGGCTCACCTTTTTTCTTTTCTCTTTTCTTTTGCACAATAGTCATGCAGACGATACGAAAGGCCTTACGTGGGCCGGCCAGTCCTTCGAAACGTCTGACGCGAAGCCTAGTGGTGCAGTTAAGAAAGAGACGATTAAAGTTGTGCAGAGTGGGGGTACGGTGAAGGTGAATGTTGGGATACAGGCGACGGAGATCGTGCTTTTGAGTTTTTAACTCGAGCTGTGTGTGGATGTGTCATTGTGTGTTTTGCTTACTTTGACATTTCGTGACTTTTGACTTTGATGGGGATATTAATGACTTTTGATGACTTTTTTTTCGTCACCTACGTACAGGATGACTTCTTCAATTTTGACGATTTTCGTTCGTTTTGTTTGCTGTTGTTTCTCCAGTCATAATGTCATAATACCTGCTGTCATTCATTCGTGTTGTCCTGTCCTCTGATACTACTTTGTTTTTTGTTCTGTTCATTAGACTTTTTGACTTTTTGGTGGTATACATTGACTTTTTTGCTTTGCCCCATTTGTCTCTACGTTGATTGCATGCTTTGTTATTACATAACATAATACATTGCTGTGCTTTCGTTGCAGTGGTATTGCTTGATGTGAAGACACTCCTAAGGTGTGTGCTGCTTCCGCAGGTACTTTTTTGTACCTTTGTAAACAATCTCATAAGTCAAAACATAAGGACTCTTGAAAATATATTCGAAGCACTAAAAGCTATTGTGTGCATTTCTGTGATGTTATAAGATAGAGAGAAAGAGGAAGTGTTGGCAGTGAATTTAGTTCTGGGCAGGCTCAGTAACTTGGATTTGATAAGATAGGACAACAACATTTAGGAATACTATTAGCTACACTCACTAGTCGGAAAGTTAATAGCACAGGTTTCCGCCCCACACTGTCTTTTGAAATGCCAGTTCAGATGACCTTTCACATAATAAACAAGCGACAAGAAGAGGAGTAAGACTGTGCAGCGCTCACACCAGAGGAGTACTCCACGATGGACTACAGTTGAATAAGGCAATCGTTTGTTATCTGAGTTTCTTCTATTACACTTATTTGATTTGATATGACGTCACGAGACGAGTGTAAGCAATAGAGATATTCTATTTTGCACATTGGCTTGCTTTGGTATCGTACAGCCTCTTCGTGTTCAGACCGTGTGATCAGCAGTGTATCCACTCTTTGATGTAATCATACACATTTCACATGAAGGGTCATCGAAGGGATAATATCAATATCAACGAAACATCTGAAAAAGTCAAATGAAAGCTGGAATATACTGGAAAGACGTGCAAAATAGGATATGTCCGCGGAATGGAGGAGCAAGTCTTGGATGCGTATTTTTGGCTATGAGCAAGGAGTTATGTGTTGCGAAGGTGGATTGTGTGTGGTGTTTTTCCCCAGCAGGACATATCCAGTCTGAGTCTGCACGCACGTCGCTTGCATTTTAGTCGCCGCTGGTCCGGCTCGGAATCCGTCCACGTGATGCAGACCAACTTGCGTCACTGTGCACAATCCTATAAACCCAGCCTCCGCCACACCCGTCCGCTCTTTCCACCTGCTAACTGCCCCTCTGTCCACCCTCATTTACCCTCCTTGCTGTCGTCGTAATTCGTCGCAGCACTTTCCTAACCCGTAACCATGTCTGCTGCCGTCGAAAAACGCGACATAAAGCAGCCTTTACTCTTCGAATGCGCATGGGAGGTCGCCAATAAAGGTCAGTCGTCGTGGCGCTTTCCTCACTTTTTCGACCTCTCTCCATTCGGGTTTTCTTGCATTTTCTGACTTATCACGACGCATATAGTCGGTGGTATCTACACCGTTATCAAAACAAAGGTCCCCGTCACCGTTTCCGAGTTCGGCGACCGTTATTGCCTCATCGGTCCACTCAGCTACAAAACGGCTCCGATGGAGGTTGATGCACAGGAACCTGAGGATGAACACTTGAAAGCTGCGATTGAGTCGATGCGCTTGAAAGGTATCAAGATTCTGTACGGAAGATGGCTAATCGAAGGTGCCCCGCGCGTCATGTTGTTCGATACGGGCAGCGCGTATCATTTTCTTGATGAGTGGAAGGGTGATCTATGGAACTTGGCGGGCATCCCGACTCCACCGAATGATCATGAAACGAACGAGACTATCGTCTTTGGTTATCTCGTTTCTTGGTTCCTTGGCGAGGTGCGTAGTTATTTTTTTTTCTCTCTCTTTATTTGCGTTTTCTGTTCTGCTCTTTCCCGCTAACTCCGTTCCGCGGGTTTTTAGTATGTTTCTCATCAGCTCGAGCACGCTGTTATCGCGCATTTCCACGAGTGGCAAGCCGGCTTGGCAATCCCGCTATGTCGGAAAAGGCACATCGATGTGACTACTGTGTTCACGACCCATGCTACGCTACTTGGGCGGTACCTCTGCGCGGGTAGTGTTGACTTTTACAACAACCTGCAATATTTCGATGTCGATCATGAAGCTGGCAAGCGTGGTATTTACCATCGCTACTGCATAGAACGCTCCGCGGCACATTGTGCAGATGTGTTCACGACCGTATCGCATATCACCGCGTACGAGGCCGAGCACCTTCTCAAGCGTAAACCGGACGGAGTCGTGCCGAATGGACTCAACGTCGTGAAGTTCCAAGCGATGCACGAATTCCAGAACCTCCATGCGCAGTCGAAGGCGAAGATCAACGACTTCATTCGCGGTCACTTCTATGGCCACTACGACTTCGATATTGATAACACTCTGTACATGTTTACGGCTGGGCGGTACGAGTACCGTAACAAGGGTGTCGATATGTTCATTGAATCGCTAGCGCGTCTGAATTATCGACTACAAAAATCGGGCTCGACTTTAACGGTCGTTGCATTCATTATTATGCCTGCCGCGACCCAATCATATACAGTGGAGGCTCTCAAGGGCCAGGCTGTCATTAAACAACTTCGGGATACCGTCTCCGACATCCAGACTCGCATAGGTGAACGTATATTTGAACATGCGGCGCGCTACACGGGGTGAGTTGTTCGAGTTCTCGAGCTTGAATGGAGATTCTGATGCTCTTTTAGTGAATCCGGTACGGAGTTCCCGTTAATAGACAGCCTTCTCTCGGAGCAAGACAAGGTGCTGTTGAAACGGCGAATCTTCGCTCTCAAACGCAATTCATTGCCACCTGTCACAACTCACAACATGGCGGACGACGCGCACGACCCAATCCTCAATCAAGTTCGTCGTGTTCAGTTATTCAACGGACACAACGACCGCGTCAAAATTATTTTCCACCCGGATTTCCTCAACTCGAACAACCCGATTCTTGGTTTGGATTATGAGGAGTTCGTCAGGGGCTGCCATCTCGGCGTCTTTCCGAGTTACTACGAGCCGTGGGGATACACCCCAGCAGAATGTACAGTTGTACGTACTTAGATCGTCCTTAGTTCTTATTGTGTCCGTTGCTTCTCACCTAGATGCGAACTCTGATCTCTCTGCTTCTTTCCTTTTGTAGATGGGTGTACCGTCTATTACGACAAATCTCTCCGGATTTGGCTCGTTCATGCAAGATCTAATCGAGGAACCTGCAGATGAGGGGTGCTACATCGTTGATAGGAGGATGAAGTCAATCGAAGAATCCGTTAACCAACTAACGGACTGCATGTTCTCGTTCTGCAACAAGACACGGAGACAGCGGATTAATCAGCGGAATCGCGTTGAGAGGCTTTCGCCGTTGTTGGATTGGAAGAATCTGGGGATTGAGTATTCGAAAGCGAGGCAGTTGGCGCTGAGACGTGCATATCCGGATTCGTTTAGTGATGAGGATGAGGAGTATGATTTTGCTGCTGGGGTGGAGAGGCTGCCGTTTTCGATGCCGGGAAGTCCGAGGTTACGTGCGGGTATGGCGACACCTGGGGATATGGGTACTTTGACGGAAGAGGTAAGTGGTGTCGTAGCTTTCCGGGATGGGTGGTTGATTGGCTTGGGATATTGACGCACGTTTGTGATTTTGTAGATGCAAGGATTGAGTACGAGCGATTATCGTGGAACTATGTGGCCAGGGAAGGAGGAAGAAGAGGAAGGCTATCCTTTGTACGTCTCATCTTTCCTTCTACGCTTCATTCGTTTCATCTCTCGCGGCTTCCATCTTTCCCCATCCTTCATATCCTTATCAAATCTTATCGAACTCCAAACTAACTTCATATCTTCTTTGCAGCCCGTTGGTGATGAAAGTCCGTTCACGCGCAAGTTCCATCCGATCCGGTGCGAGTACACCAGGTGGCGGCGCATACAAGAGCCTGAGCGAGAGAGACTTACAGAAGGCAGACGCAGCGCTGAGCCATGTAAACGAGAACCAAGAGGTGAAGGTGAACGGGGCATACTAAGTCTGGCGACAAGGGCGTGTTCTTGTCGAATTGATATGAATAACGTTGATCCTAAAGTGTTTGTTGTTTGCATCTTTCAACAATCTCTCCGTTTTTAACCTTTGCTACCATCATTGTTACCACTTTGCAATTTTTGTTTTACACCCCAACCCCCCTCTCTTACTCAGTCGTACTACTGTGTCGTGCTTTCATCTATGAGTTTCTTCCCCCTACAATTTACTTTTCCCCTTTCTCCTTTCCTCAACTTTCCCGTTTAACTTTTCAACCTTCTCTTCTCAATCTATGCGCTACACTGTTTGCTGTTGTCGACTACCCTGTTCATTTGTTTCCGTCATTTCTTTCTCATCGTTCAGGGATCTTTTATACATTTACATGTTCGTCAATTACCTTTGTTGTTCCCCTTCTTTCTTTTCTTTTAAATTTCGAGTTTTAAAGTTCAATATGAAGCAGCATTTTCGGTTGTGGAACGAAAATTCGAATTGCTCACTTTCACTAACAGATTTAGCTAGAAGTGATTGTTCAGAACGGATCTGGACTTGAGATCAACGAAATATAGACCTGTGTAACCAGAAGAAAAATATACTGTCGCGGTGCCCCTTGCAGACATGACCTACAACTGGACATTTTGCTATTACTCCTCCAATTCCCATTAAATCTTCATGAAATTTTGTATATATGTAGCTAGACATCTAATTGACATAAGTTTGAAATTTTGAGTCAAATAAATCAGTAGAAAAAAAGATATTATGTTTGCAATCCGAAGACAACAAAAAGTTGAATTTTTTGATGCTCTAAATCCTTTCCCACACATTGTATACTTTATATTAATTCAAATAATGCAAATATTGTTCTGTAAATTTACATTTATGTGTATTAGTATGTATAGTATATAGTTGTTTTTTTGCAAAAAGATCGATAACGTTTTGAGCAAGTTATAATGCATATCGCTATTAGTCTTATTCTGTTACATTAGAAGAATTAATCTACTAATATCTAACTTTATAATTTTTTATACAAAGCTATACTATTAAGACTTATACAATAAAGTTAATATTTATTATTATATGTATTAGAAGTATATGTTTGCAAAACATTATAACTTAAAAATAATTATTTGAATTTATATTAAGTTATTAATTTGGAGAGTGAGAAGGAGAACGTGTACACCAGTAACTACCCACCAAACCTTCCTCAGACATGGGACTTCGTTGTCCAAACAGGCCCGCGAAGTGTCCTGGCTGACGTCCATCATCAACATCAATCCATCTCTCAGGAGCAGTCAGACGAGGCATCAGCAAGTAGCGGAACTGCAACAGCAGAAGGAGTGCAAGATCGCAGCGAAGGAGGAAGAGCTCAATCAGCATTGACGTGAGATGACAGAACGCTTGCAACTGCGCAAAGAGAGAGAGATCGCTGAGCAAACTTGACAACCCAGGCATCAGAAGGAGAAAGATGGCAGAGCAGAGGAACAGCAGCGAATTCTGGAAGCAGAGGAGCAGGAGGAGAGCAAGCAGCAGAGGAGAGCAAGCAGCAGATGGCAGAACGTAGGCAAGAGACTCCAAGTCATCACGACAAGCCTGTTCCTGTAAAAAGAACTGTATATTCCATTAATAAATAGACTGTAAATGAATTCTATAATGTAATTATCTTCATCTCTATCCAGACAAAAGTAAATTGGTCTGATAGGATTAAAGTCGAGTCCGCGTACTAAGTCTATGTGCGTGCAGATCTGCCTAAGTCTCCTTTCCCACGGGGTGTCCACTTGTGGGTCAGACGCGTCAAATCTCACTTTTTGACTTATCATTTTGTAAAATCAATGAAATATTTATTTTTTAATATTTTATTAAAATAAAACCAACATTTTTTAGCTAAGATGTTGTAATATATAATTGTAATTTTTTGTGGTATAAAACAGTTGTAGTAAGTAATAATATGAAAAATAGCTCAAAAGTGACCGGTTGGGGCACCTCCACAGTAAGACAAGCAGAAAAGCTTACTTTGTCTACCGCTCTGACACCTTGCATCTAACCAAAGTCAAAACCACAACAAGGGACAAAGTCCGAAGGAAGTCAAACCAGTACTACAATTGACCTGTCAATGCTAGAGAGATCTCTTTGTAAGGCTGTAAGTATTATTACAGTTATGTAGAATATGTCAGTAGACTAGAATGTGTCTCTGCATTTATAAACAGATAAATAAATAAATAATCTTTGTTTTTATTATTTTACTCAGAACAGACAGGAAAACAATAGTTCTAGGATTAAATAGAGTCCAATCAACAATAGGATAAATAAATAAGAGTGTAGAGAAAGTGAGGATAAAATAAAATAAGATTCCACTGATGAAATGAATAAGAGTCCAGTAAAAGCAAGAATAACTAAGTGGACAGAATAATGATATGAGTGGTGACCAGCACTGAAACAAATAAACCATCAAGATACTAGGGAATAACTGCAAACAGCTACAAATGTATGTCCCACACATCGGACTGAGCCTTCTTCATTGGTTCCCAATGCTGCTGTAGGAGCTATTACAAGTATGATAAATCAGCCAAGCTCATAACTGACAATCACAAGTTAATTTACTTTCACCAAATTCAATGTTGCTTATGGTCCTCAACCTGAAGCTGGTTCCTCCGTTTACTCCCCTTTCCCCCGCCTCCTTCAGATTGATTAGAAGGTGACTTCCGAGGACACTGAGAAGTGCCGGACTTGCAGAACGATTGAGAATCGCTCCGATTATATTGTTCGTGGGATGTATTTGATCTTTCACTATTTTCATTACAGAACAAAACATCACACTATGGACACCTGAGCCAGACAATAATAATTATACACAAGTACGTCACTTACAGGCCAAAGTATAGGATTTGGTCTTGAATGAGGATTCTGACAAGGTGGAACCCTTCGAAACCGGATGATATACGCCAGTACTCTACTGCCTTGAAGAGGGCTAGACAGAGTAAAATTGTCCCGTACACTAAGGGAATGATCCTACAAGTTGTTGTTAGAAAAAAGGGTGTAGAATATAGCTTTAATACACACCAGAAGGTGTTGATGATTGTATTCAATTGTGTGGAATTGCGGCTTACACAAATGTCAAACGTTTGTGCAAGATGTAGATAAGTAACTATGAAGTGTTGTTTCAGTTTACTTGTTGGCTTTCTAACGTAAGTATTGGCAATGTACCATCTCCAGAAAGAGTCCTATAAATAGTAAGCACAATATTCACACTTGCTTCCACAGCAAGGAGGAGTTTGAGGAAGACGGAAAGTCTCCTGTCTGCTATAATTTGAATGAGCAATCTCCTAGAAGACTAATTGCTTACTTTGTTCATAAAGTGCTACAACACGAATCTGAAGAATGTCTAAAGAATATTTGTTTTTATAAAAAAAAACGTCTTGAAGATTGGTAACATTCACTTACAATCCACGAGGACGATTATAATCAAGGCTGATGCATGGTTTTCCATTGTATTGAAATCATGATAAATAACTGTAAGAGGCTCACCACATAAGTTGTTGATCCATCGTCCAGCCTGACCTAGCATTTAAGTCAACAATAAGTATTAACAGTCAGGAGCAGCAACATACAGCTATACATGACACATGTCCACAAAAGATGTTAGCACACTGTCTTGATACTGGTATTCAATTCTGACCTCAAACGATTTTGCTTGAAGCCATCGCCTGTTGCATAACAACACTGTCAGTTACTTCTCCTAAGCCACGAGATCGTGGTACGGTAGCGTATGGTATGGAATATTGTCAACTTACTAACCAAAACCAAAATCGCTGAAAGGATTCCAGTGTAGTGATTCTGAATCTCAACGCTTAGAATGGGCTCAGTTATTATTCATCTCAGCAGCTCTCACCATAAAGTAAAGCAAGCTAACAGTGCTGCATGGTTTAGACTTTACAACTATCAATTGACCATGAACCTGTATGTGAACGAATTGCGAGCTCACCCAGAAGTATTTCATCTGTAAAGATAGAGTCAATAGGTGCCTGTGAGATACCAAGATGATAATCATACTTGTTTATTCAGTGTTAAGACTTGAATAATACATTCCGTTAGCGAGGCTTTGGCACAAGAAACCGCAGTACAAACAAGTGTTGTAGACGAGGATGGCCAACATTGCCACGTCGAAATACATTTCAGTGATGTGTTCGGCAAAGAACATCTGTGCCCTGTTCGGCTTGATTGGCTCAGCATGTGAACGGGTAAATAACGATTGGACATGTATATAGTCAAGAGATTGATTCGCCATTGAAGGAGGAGGATGCGGGATAAGGTACGACCATGAACTAGTAATCCTTTTATAAGGGTTGTTGACGTGAAGCTGATGCGAATTGCGCGTATGCGTTGAATGTCTTTGATGCAGGACGCGTAAACTCCACTAGATGTTCGGTCTCACTTGAAATGCGAGGTCTCTATGGAGAATAGTGCTGCATCGTTGTTAGCCAGGAATCAGCATGTCCGATCGATGATCTGTCGCCGCATAGATCGCATAGGAGTAATCGCGCTCTATAATGCGTTTCATATAATTACCCTTCTTTGGGAGTAACACCAGCTGAGGAGCAATTTAACTGCTTCACTTGGTCTGCTGGAATGACTTACCAACAGCCTTGGAAACAGGTTAATGAAATGGATTCACCTCTGGCATGTTGAGTTCTGTTTTAGTAGCATGTGCATCCGTATTGTGTTCGGGCAGTTTATCATAGCAGTCTCATCCACAACTGATTCTCTACTTTACTGTGCCCCTTCGGATCATTGTGTAGCATAGATGATAGCAGACAATGCCCTTGACAGAATATTCTTTCCTATAGCCTTGTGAGAAGCGTCCAGTGCACGAATTGCAAAGTATCAATGTACAGTCAGTGACTAGCATCAACAGTTTTACATGTGGACAACTTTGTCATAACTACAGTTTTGAATTATTACGTGTGAGTGGATAAATGTTGTGAGCACGGACTGGATTGCAAATGCAAGGTGATTGCATGCCTGAATCATTACTTGGATTGATTGAATCAATCTTTGACTATTATACCTTCATTACCAGACTTCAGGTATGTCTTCTTCCACTGTCCTTGCACATATAAGATAATATGAAGGTGAGGTGCATATTGACTCATATCAATGTTTTGAACAATGTAAGAAGTCCAATGAATCGGGCTTTGTGCATCTAAACTTACTTATTATTGCTCTTCTCACAGAGGCATCACTTGTGCATCCATTCATCTGGTTGAACAGATTATGATTAGCAAATGGAAGTAGCCATCAAAGCAAGTGTCATGACAAAGCTTATAGATTTACTTATTTCAGTGATTCAATATATGCACAGGTAGAAACGATCAAGACAATCCAGAAGCTGACAGGTCAAGAACACACAGTTCAGAAAAAATGATACCAAACAAGATATTAGAATGCCAATATAGGTACAGTGATCGAAGACATCGTGCCCACTTACAACAAGGACGCAAATGAAATTTCCGCCATCTTTTCGAAAATATGTTCGGTTCCTTGTTAGGAAATCGAATTGACGAACTGACTTCTATTAGATGAGGGAACGAAGACAACTATAAGGCATGTTGCATTATTTGATCAGTGGTTGTGCCGAATAGTGAGTTGCCACTATTAGCCAGTAGATCTAATTGGATATTCATAACTGGGGAATTTGGACTTCTACAAAGGGCAGAGCCAAACTAGCCGAGTATCCGAGTAGTACGGCTGTTGCTTTGTTGACTGTAAGTTCTGTAAGCAGCCTGACAACTTTGCTTTGGCAACGGAATTTTCTGTGACAAATTTATTTGTCATTTTGAGGGTGCAACGGCACTTCCAGGCACAGCTGTAGCAGTAGAAGGGAAGAGAACTACCATTTGTTTAGAAAGTAACACATAAATAAGTTGTGATAGGGACAGGCGATTGGAGGAGCGACAAGGTGCCTCTAATAACTGGTTCCACAGTGTTCTAGTCACTAGTGCAACTAGCAAATTCGGTACTTGTTGCATGAGCAAATAGCTTGGGATTATTATCCAATAGGCTCTAAGTTTAGGGAGGCTTGGACCTAACCAGGATGCCCGAAAGACATTGTAGGGATTGTTCGTCCCCGGAGGAGGACGCTTCTCAGTACCGAAAATACTCTGCTCTGAGATTAACTGTTCCATATCACGTGATATCAAAATCTGACTTTGTACCTGAAGCGCGATATTTACCATTACCATCGCTACTGCATAGAATGCCCCCGCGGAAGATTGTGTAGATGTGTCTACGACAGTGTCGGATATCACTGCGTACAAGGCTGAGCACCTTCTCAAGTGTAAACCGGGCGGAGTCGTTCCGAATGGGTTGAACATTGTGAAGTTCCAAGTGCACGAATTCCAGAACCGCCATGCGCAGTAGAAGCCGAAGATCAACGATTTCATTCGTGGTCATTCCTATGGACGCTACAACTTCGATATTGATAACACGTTGTATATGTTGACAGCTAGGCGGTACGAGTACCGTAACAAGGGTGTCGATAATAGATGTGTTCATTGAATCGCTAGCGCGTCTGAACTATCGACTGCAAAAAGTGGAGTCCACCATCACGGTTGTTGCATACATTATCATGCTTGCCGCGACCCAGTCATATACGTTGGAGGCTCTCAAGGACCAGGCTGTCATTAAACAACTTCAGGACATCGTCGCCGATATCCACTCTCACATCGGTGTCATTCGGTGAACGTATTGTCGAACATGCGGCGCGCTACTCGGGGTGAATCGTTCTAGGTCTTCGAGAGCTTGAATGGAGATTCTAATGCTCTCTTAATGAATCCGGTTGGACTTCCCGGAAACAGACAACCTCCTGTCGGAACAAGACAAGGTGTTGTTGAAACAGCGAATCTTCGCTCTCAAACGCAATTCGCTACCTCCTGTTACAACTCATAACATAGCAGACGAAGCGCACGACCCCATTCTCATTGTCAACCAGACTCGTCGTGTTTAGCAATTCAACGGACACCATGACTGTGTCAAGATTATTTTCCACCCGGACTTCCTCGACCCAAACAACCCGACCCTTGGCCTGGATTACAGGGAATTTGTCAGGAGCTGCTATGTCAGCGTCGTTCCGAGTTATTACGAGCTTCAGAATACACTCTGGCAGAATGTATAGTTGTACGCGCTAAGATCGCCCTATATATTTATTGTGTCCACCGCTTCTTACCTAGATGCGAACTCTGATCTTCTCTCTTCCCTTTTTTCCCTAGATGTGTGTACCGCCAAACACGACGAACCTCTCCGAATTTGGATCATTCACGCAAGATCTAATCGAGGAACCTACAGATGAAGGGCGCTACATCGTTGATCGTCGTGTGAAGTCAATCGAAGAAACTGTCAACCAACTAACAGACTGTGTATTCTCGTTCTACAACAAGACGCGGAGACAACGGACTAATCAGCATAATCACGTTGAGAGGCTTTTACTGTTGTTGGATTGGAAGAATTTGGGGATTGAGTACTCGAAAGCGAGGCAGTTGGCGCCGAGTCGTGCATATCCGGATTCGTTTAGTGATGAGGATGAGGAGTATGATTCTGCTGCTGGGATGGAGAGGCCGCCGTTTTCGATGCCTGGAAGTCCGAGGTTACGGGCTGGGATGGTGACGCCTGGAGATATGGGTACTTTGACGGAAGAGGTAAGTGTCGTGGCTTTCCGGGATGGATGGTTAATTGGTTCGGGATATTGACGCACGTTTGCCCTCTCTTTTCTGGATGCAGAGGTTGAGTACGAGCGATTATCATGGAATGATGGGGCCAGGGAAGAAGGAAGAAGAGGAAGGCTATCCTTTGTACGTCTCATCTTCCCTTCTCAGCTTCGCCCATATTTCTCTTTCGATCTCCGCCATCATTCTTAACCTTATCATTTCTTGTCGAAACCTCTACTGATTTATTTTGTATTCAATAGCCCATTGGTGATGAAGGTCCGTTCACGCGCAAGTTCGATCCAATCCGGCGCAAGCACGCTTGGTGGCGGAGCGTACAAGAGCCCGAGCGAGAGACTTGCAGCATTGAGCCACGTAAACCAGAGTCAGGAGGTGAAGGTGAATGGGGCGTACTAAGTCTGGCGACAAGGCTGTGTTCTTGTCGGATTGATAAGAATAGCATTGGTCCTGAAATATTTGTTGTTTGCGCCTTTCAACGGTTTTTATACCTCTCTGTTACGACCCTTGCAAAATTTGTCTTACCGCTCCTTGCCCCGTCCCGTCATATCGCCACGTCGTGTTTCCACTTTTGAATTCCTTCCGTCAACAATTCACTATTCTCCTTTCTCCTTTCCTCAACTTTCACGTTTTACTTTTCAACCTTCTCACTCGATGTGCTACACTGTTGATGTTGATGTTACCCGTTATCATACATTTACATCATTGTTTCCGTTCAGTAATCTTCTACTCATTTACATGTTCATCAATACCTCTGTTGTTCCCATATTCTCTTCTTTCAAGTTTCAATATAAGGTAGCATTCTCAATTGTGGATTGAAAAATCAAATTGTTTGACTTGTTCTTTCGGATTTCGTGTTGAGTCTGGTGCTTCTATCCTGCCTGTCTGACCAAGACCATGGATAAACGTGTTTGACTCCCTGGTCAGGCTGGAGTCATGCCACGCTTTTGTATCTAATCTCATTCATCCAACAATTCCAAAGATCAGAGAGAGCTCAATCAACAACAGATTACATGAATAAGAGTCTGGAAAAAAAATTAGAATACAGTAAAATATGTCATAATGCATTAAGATTTTCTGTAACAAAGTTGAGTTTACCTGCTAAAATTGTATGTAATAATGCATAAAGTCCATAATGCATTGAAATTCAGTCTTCTCCCAACGTTATGCATTATGACACATTTTACTGTAAATAAATTGGCAAAATAATGTTCTGATAGGCAACAGTCCTAAAGATCAGAGAGTCCAATAAAACAACAAACTAATGAATAAGAGTCTAGTAAAAGAAAGAGTAATTCAATGGACAGAATAATGATCTGAGTAGTGTCCAGTGTTACTACAGGTAAACCATCAAAATACTAAGGAATAACTGTGAACAACTACAAATGTATGTGTTAAGACAAGACTACACAAGAGTATGTCTCAGATGATATAAACTACATTACAAGCAATGACAAACGATGATGGAATACCTTCCATCATACATTCTACATCTGAGACATACCTACATAGTATATATAGACTAACTAATCAATGGACAATGAAGCAAGCTGCAAGAGAGCAAGCTGAGTCCACTATCCCCCCCTCTTTGTGTGATCCCTCTAAGCCTCTCACATAACCTCTCTTTCCTTTCTTAACAGGTTATGAGCCTTGAGCTCCCTGCCTACACTTTATCTACACTCTACTACATTTATGCTCTATACAGTTCTACACATCACATGCATGCATGCAGCATAATACAATACAGAACTCAACTCACCTGTCTGAGTATCCCAAACGCAAATCAATACACTGTGAACACACAATCTACTGTACTACATATGACCCAGACATTATATGATTGTCATCTTAGTGATTATGATCATTGGCCCAGTAATAATATAATCTATGCAGGCAACATTGAAACTACAATGAGTATCACTTACTACAATTATTAAATACTGAAATACTCTATAATATCATAGAGATTATGTTATAATAAATTAACTGATCATACTACAGACAAATGTTAAAAAGATTAATAAAGCAAACACTACTCTTCTGCTATTAACATTACAATAGTACAAATGATTGACACTGTCAACAAGCATACATATGTTATAGTATAAATCAAATAATAACACATATAGTAATATCACAGCCAAACAATTAATGCTCAAAACGAGCACATATATGCTAAACAGCATATTAAATTGAATAAATAAAACATCTAACATGTATTATAAACAATAATACAATTGCAGACACTATAATAACAACAAAAATAACAATAATAATGATAATAATACAGATAGAACTAACAGAATGAATACAGAACAATATAATAACTAACACATATTATGGTTGAGCAATTATATGTAACATATCAGATTCAGCAGTTACATGTCAGATATTGTGATTACTTATCAGATACTGAATATAATACACATATCTAAGATATACAGACAAGTACAGATATACAAAAGTATAATGAATAACTACAAACCAAAAAACAATACTACAGAGCATATAAACTAACTACACACAAAGAAATAATGTCATAACATGTAAATACTAACTACAGTACAAGACAAGTGCAAAATTATAATTATTAAACAAATGATACTACTTTACACATTAATACAATTGTGTAAATGTATACTAACAATGAACAAAAGAATTATATCTCTATTATACTCAAAACAATGTAACAATACAACTTAATTACACAGAATGTCTTTTCACAGCAGTTGATTATATAATAAATTTCAAAGTTGTAACAGTAACATCAACTGTACAGTGTATATACCTTAATGAACAATTATTAAATTTACATTGTGACAATGTAGCTTGTAGGAGTAAAGTATTAAGCTGATAAGGCTACTACAACAAATAATACAAATATAATTATTACAAACACATTATTATAATAATTACGATCGAAAATAATCATAATATAATATGATTAAATAAATTAATAAAATGTTTAAGCCATTATCTTAGACAGTATAATATAAAATAGGTAATAACAGATGTGAGCACACTTAATAGAACTCAGCACACTTATTAAAAGTGCTACATAAATAATAATTACAATGTTATTAAATGAATATTATACAGAAATAAACAAATTACTATATGTTTTCAACACAAAAACAAAATATTCATTCATAGTTATAAACAATTATTAATAAAAGATAATGAGCACAAACAAAACTTGTATATTATACATAATGTGTACTTATCTACTATAACAAACAAAATACACATTATATAAGTTGACAAACATTAACAGTAACAAAGATATAATAGTAATAACATTTAAATTACTCATTATAGAATATAACAAATGTTACACACTGCTTTAAAATACTAATAATTAGAAATTGAACCATGAAAGCAATTACAATTATTATATATATAAATATTATATTATAACAACAATTAATAAACAATTAAAGAAATATCCAATTCTTTAAAGAAATACCTTCTTGAATTGAAGGGGAGAAAATGGATAATATGCATGAAAAATTAATAACTAAATATAAACAACAGAACAGAAAGTATAACACTACAGACACTACGAAAAATAGAATAACAAAATGTATGGACTAAGTACTGACTAAGTAATAGAAGTTACAGACAGACATAACAGATTATAAAGGTAAATCATTTGGTACAAAGCAAAACTATGTTGATTGGAACTAAATAACAGAAGTCAACACAATGTGCAATTAAACTTCAACATTAAATAAATAATAATTCTACTATGAAACAAATGCTCATACTTGGAAAATAATATTAATATGATAATATAATTAACTCAACAGTGTTTAATACGAAAATAAATAATATGTAGACAATTATCACATCATATAATGAAATAATTCATCAATTCAGACTATAGTTCATGGATAAAAGTGATGAATAATGAAAATAATACTTCAGAACATACATAAAACAATAAATAATATATCCATAGGATAATACAAATATAATTGTAATATAATTCACAACTACAACCAAACAATACACAGATAATAACTATATAAACAAGTATGGAGTGTATACATTTACATAGATGTTATGTCTGGCCACAGGCATCTTACTATGTGTCTAGGTGCATTGTATATGTATTATATCATGAATGTATTGTTTGTTTGTTCACTTTACATTATTGTTTATACATATGTATTAATTTATTAACATTATGTTTGTTTATTGATTGTTTCTGATGCATCCTGAGTAACTATACAATCTGTTGCATTGTTTCTTTAATAGCCAACATAGTTATCTGTTGTAAATCATTTCTATTGTGCATTTGTATTATTTATTATTAACAATGTTGTTGTGAATTGTTACAATCATAGTATTGTGTATATATATGTGTGTATGTTATGGCTATTGTTCTTTGCTTTTTCTTTTGCAAAGAATAATGTATTGTAACACAATCTGCATATGATTGATATATCAGATTATGTTTACTATAATTGTTTCCTAGTGTACTTTAGTTAATCTAGTGCTATGTGCAATTGTAGTATTTGTTCAACATTTTATTTGTTAATTGGTTTGCTAGGTAAAACATTTTATATATTGGTTTTATTTATTTTATTTGAATCATTGTATAGATATACCTATTAGTATCTATCCAATGTATTTCATAGTATTATAATACTGTTCACACTTGTATTAATTGTGTAGTAAGGGCAAATTAATTGTTTGTACAAGAATCGATTTAATAGTTTTATTTAATTATCAAATATATGTTAGCATAAAACCTCATTAATCTCAGAATGAAGCAATCTGGCAAAAACAAATATTATTACTGATATACAATCAATGCAAAGCTTCAATCTGAAGACATAAATCAGCTATTACTGAATGCTTAATGTATATACAAATGTAGACAAACATGGACAGCAATGATTAAAGAAGGATATTATTACAACATCAAATATACATTTTACTAGTGTGATTCATTAGTTTCACAGCAAAGTAAAAGGAAATTACTAGAGTACTCAAACAAACTTAATAACAAACAATATGACTGAATAACAAACAATAAAACGAAACAAGCAATTGCATTTATGATTTAAATATGCACATATACATACCTATGCATGCTAACAAGATTCTGCAGGTCTCTGAAGCATTTACAAATTATTTAATAACATTTACAAACAATCTATTATGATAACAATACTGTTATTCAACAGTATATTATGAACAAACAAACTAATTAAATATACTTAATCAATATAACATCAGACAAACTTAACACAAAGTGGATGACATTCAGAACAGACAGTACACAGAACAGACAATGCATTACTACAATGCTAATAATATTATTATTAACTACATCAAGTTATAAATGTGTTACACAAACAAACAACTGTACAATACAGTTATAATGATTAAACTATCTATACAAACTGCAAGCAAACATCTTACAAGTCTACTAGACCTAGTAAGAGTTTGAAGGAGAGTGTTAAGACAAGACTACACAAGAGTATGTCTCAGATGATATAAACTACATTACAAGCAATGACAAACAATGATGGAATACCTTCCATCATACATTCTACATCTGAGACATACTTACATAGTATATATAGACTAACTAATCAACAGACAATGAAGCAGGCTGTGAGAGAGCAAGCCGAGTCCACTATCCCCCCCTCTTTGTGTGATCCCTCTAAGCCTCTCACATAACCTCTCTTTCCTTTCTTAACAGTATGTTCCACGTGTCAGACTGAGCAGCCTTCATTAGCGCCTGATGCTACTGCAGGAGTTATAATGACAAATCAGCCGTATTCAAAACAGAAAATGGCAAGTCAATATACCTTCTTCAAGTTGAATAATACTTATAGTCCTCAACCCCAGACTGGTTCCTCCATTTGCCTCTCTCTCCCCTGCCTCCTTCAGATTGATTAGAAGGTGACTTCCAAGGACACAGAGAAGTGCCGGACTTGCAGAACGATTGAGAATCGCTCTGATTATATTGTTCGTGGGATGTATTTGATCTTTCACTATTTTCATCACAGAACAAAACATCACACTATGGACACCTGAGCCAGACAATAATAATTATACACAAGTACGTCACTTACAGGCCAAAGTATAGGATTTGGTCTTGAATTAGGATTCTGACAAGGTGGAACCCTTTGAAACCGGATGATATACGCCAGTACTCTACTGCCTTGAAGAGGGCTAGACAGAGTAAAATTGTCTCATATGCTAAGGGAATGATCCTACAAGTTGTTAGAAAAAAGGATATAGAATATAACTTTTATACACACCACAAGGTGTTGACGATTGTATTCAATTGTGTGGAAGTGCGGGTTACACAAATGTCAAACGTTTGTGTAAGATGAACTATGAAGTGTTGTTTCAGTTTACTTGTCAGCTTTCTAAAGTTTTGGCAACGTACCATCTCCAGAAAGAGTCCTATAAATAGTAAGTACAATATTCACACTTGCTTCCACAGCAAGGAGGAGTTTGAGGAAGACGGAAAGTCTCCTGTCTGCTATAATTTGAATGAGCAATCTCCTAGAAGACTAATTGCTTACTTTGTTCATAAAGTGCTACAACACGAATCTGAAGAATGTCTACGGAATATTTGTTTTTATGAAAAAAACGTCTTGAAGATTGGCAACATTCACTTACAATCCACAAGGACGATTATAATCAAGGCTGATGCATGGTTTTCCATTGTATTGAAATCATGATAAATAACAGTAAGAGACTCACCACATAAGTTGTTGACCCATAGTCCAGCCTGACCTAGCGTTTAAGTCAACAATAAGTATTAACAGTCAGGAGCAGCAACATACAGCTATACATGACACATGTCCACAAAAGATGTTAGCACACTGTCTTGATACTGGTATTCAATTCTGACCTCAACCGATTTTGCTTGAAGCCATCGCCTGTTGCATAACAACACTGTCAGTTACTTCTCCTAAGCCACGAGATCGTAGTACGGTAGTGTATGGTATGGAATATTGTCAACTTACTAATCAGAACCAAAACCGTTGAAAGAATTCCAGCGTAGTGATTCTGAATCTCAACGCTTAGAATGGGTTCAGTTACTATTCATCTCGGCAGCTCTCACTGTAAAGTAAAGCAAGCTAACAGTGCTGCATGGTTTAGACTTTACAACTATCAATTGACCATGAACCTGTATGTGAACGAATTGCATGCTCACCCAGAAGTATTTCATCTGTAGATAGAGTCAATAGGTGCTTGTGAGATACCAAGATGATAATCATACTTGTTTATTCAGTGTTACAGTAAGACTTGAACAATACATTCTGTTAGCAAAGTTTTGGCACAAGAAATCGCAGTACAAACAAGCGTTGTAGACGAGGATGGTCAACATTGCCACGTCGAAGTACATTTCAGTGATGTGTTTTTCAATGATGTGTTCGGCAAAGAACGCCTGTGCCCTGTTCGGCTTGATTGGCCTCGCATGTAAACGGGTAAATAGCGATTGGACATGTATATAGTCAAGAGATTGATTCGCCATTGAAGGAGGAGGATGCAGGATAAGGTACGACCATGAACTAGTACTCCTTTTATAAGGATTGTTGACGTGAAGGTGATGCTGATTGGGCGTATGCTTTAAACGTCTTTGATGTAGGATACAAAGACTTGAGTAAAAGTATGGTCCGACCCGGAATGCAATGTCTCTATGGAGAAATTCGGCTACGCCGTTGTTAGACAGGAATTGATATTTCCGATCAACGACCTGTTGCTGAGAGGATCACATAGGAGTAAGCCTGCCCACTGACGTGTTTCCTATAATGGCATCTTTGTCATTTGTAGTAGTTGAGGAGCAACTCCATTGCTTCACTATCCTTCTGGGAAGACATACTGCTAGGTCAAGTACAAGAGATGTATCTTTAGAATTTCAAGCCCTGCTGTAGTATACTCTCCTGTTTCGCATACAGCTAGCTTATCATAAGTCTTATTCACTACCGCTGATGTGCCACTGTTAGTGTCCGCCTTCAGATCATTGTGTGGCATAGTAGACAGTATTGATGCCCTTTTCGGATTATTATTTTCGGCGTCTTGCCACGAGCAGCCAAGACATGAATTGCGGGGCATCGATGTACATTCAGTAACCAGCATCAACAGTATCAATTTCAGATAGTTTTGTCACGACTACGAATTTGACAGATGCTATGGGTGCAAACTAGGTTGCTAACACAAGGTGTTTATTCACCTGAATCATCGGAATGTATGCATACAAGTAGGCAATTCATTAAATATTTGAAAAGTATATTGGCAATATGAGAACACTCAGTATAAGTAATGAGAATAGGATACTAAGCAAGATATGCTGATGTGAGTGCAGTGATGATCAAAGACATTCTGAGTTGGACACATTTACAACCAGGCAAAACCTTTGCCATCTCTTCAAATTATTCCTGGTTGCCTGTAATGAAATTGAGTTGAATGATGAACTGAATACTATTAGATAAAGGGAAACAGGCAACTGTAAATCTTGTTGTAATAATTTGATGAGTGGTTGTACTGAATACTAAGTAGTACTCATAAGGGAGTTGATCTATTCAGGGAGATAATTTGTAAGGATTTGCTTTTGTAACAATTGCACTACTTGCAAACTTATGCTACTTGTGTTGTGGGCATATATGGGTGATTTCTTTTTGTTCACTAGACTACCTAATATCCTCCTCATGTATCTACACATGTATTACCCTATAAAAGACAGTCTCAGGTGTAGGGTTTAGGGGATTCTTTTCCCCTGACCCCTCACTCAAGTACTAGGTTATCCCAGTCAGTAGTTGAGTGAACTAAGGGCAATTAGAATTCTCTTGTGAGGAACAGTGAGTTTCCTTACATAATTACTTGGTAAGAAAAAAAAATTCCACAGAAGTCAGACAGAACAAAGATCAGAACAATCCAGCAGTTGTGCTAATGACTGTAAGTCCTATAAGCAGCTTTACCATGTTGCTTTGGTAAGCAGAACTTTTTATAAGGGATGAGATGGCCATTCTCGAGTCAATGACGGCTCTGTCTGGCATAGATGCTGTAGCACAAGAGCAACGCTGCACCATTTTCTCCAGGAGTAACGCATACAAAAGTTATGATAAAGACAAGCTGAGAAGGGACGATGCGCCTCCACTCATCCTACCTCCATAGTATTCCTGCGTGGCTTGTAGTTCAGCGCTTGCTACAAGGTCAAAACCTTGTGACCGCTATACAATGCTTGATAGGAGCCATGTGTTGATGAGACTAGGGAGCTTGGACCTATGCAGGAACCCTGAAGGACATTTTTGGCATTGTTCAACCTTGGAGGACACGTTTCGGTACCGAAACGCTCTAAATCACAATTCATTCACATCACGTGATACCGAAATCTGACTTGCGCCTGAACATTGCATTTGAGAAAAGCAGCTCAAGGGCACATGCTGCGCACTTTGTATTCTTGTTCGCGGCTTTCATCTCAGAGGCATTTATCACCATCGATTCCTATACATGCATTCTTAGAGCTGGGAGCAGCCTCAACACCGAATCAAAGGAGGAACATGTACAGTAACAGAAGAAGAACCGTGGACGACCATTACCGTAACTTTGACGCTCGACAGGACGTGGATACCCGTCGCTCTGGATCTTGGCGAAGATTCCATAGGAGGAATGAAGGGCACGATTGTAATGATCCTGAGGAGTATCGAAGGTATTCGCCCCCGAGGACGAGGTACGAGGAGCGCTATAATACTGGTGCATCGAGAAACACGTTTTACCGCACGACGTCGAATAATGCATATGAAGACCCACATAAATACGAGGTTTCTTGGCGAAGGACGACTGAAAGTCAACATGATTCTTTCCAAGATCCGCATCCCAGTCATGCTCCGCGTCCACCTCGAAAAGAGGTCTCACCGAAGTCTACCCGCCTTACTGGTCCTTTCATGGCTCTAGCTACTCGTTTCTCGCCTCCGCCACCTTCACATATTCCATCTTCACCGTCTGAGGAATACCTAAAAAGTGCGGCCGAACCGTCTACGTCGACTTCTACTCCATCTCGAAAATTAATCATCCTTGACTTAAATGGAACGTTACTTTTACGATTACGATCCGTTGGTGCAGTGTATCCGCGTCCTTACATGCCATCATTTCGAGATTTCCTTCTACACCCGGAAACAAGAAAATGGTTGGATATAATGGTGTGGTCAAGTGCACAGAGGCATAACGTTGAACGGATGGTTCGACGTTGTTTCTTCGACAGGTCGTCAAACCCCGCGATACGTGACGCTGAACGCAGACGAAACGAAGAAGAGAAGCAGGATAGTGAGATCCAGGACGAGTGGGAAGGAAAGTTTATCGCTGTTTGGGCTCGTGATACCTTAGGACTATCACGTAGCGAATATTGTATGTATTCATGTCCTTTCCTTTTAATTAATGGAACGATTGAAAATAAATTATTTGTTTTACTTGATACAGCGCGTAAAGTCCAAACGACGAAGGATCTCGAAAAGCCATGGTCGGAGCTTCCAGGAGAACATAGCGCGCGTAGTACGCTGTTGCTCGACGACTCTCCTAAAAAGGCACGATTGCAGCCGTACAATCATGTTTGTATCGGAGAGTACACGCCAGTGTTACGAGAACAATCGCAACGTGTTAAACGGGGGATAGTGAAAGTGGAGCTCGAGTCTCATCTGAACAAGCCAGATTACAGGGCAGAGCGAAACGAATCCCACGTCGCTGACGGCGACGGGAACGAATTGCACACGTCTCCTGAAACAGAAGAAGTACGAAAGAAGAAGAAACAAATAAAGAAGGAACAGCAGCGGCTTGCAAGGATAAGCGCCGCCCTCCTGGAAAACTCTTCTCTACCCGTGGTTGGTGAGGCGAGCCCACAAGAAAGTGCGAACGAGGAATTTGACGGGACACTCTTAGCAGTCATTGGTGTTCTCCACACGCTAAAGCATCAGAGTAACGTGGCGGGATGGATTCGTGCAGGCGGGCTGTGGGCTGGGAAGACGCCACCGCAACTAGATGCGTCTGTCGCTACGACTACGGAGTCTAGTGAGTGTATGCCTTCTCCGACTGATGTGGAGATGGATGGTGACGAGCAACGACCGGAAGAAGCCACAGCGACTGAGGTGGCCATGGTAGCAGGAAATGACGTTCAGACTTCCGGTGCCATCTCAAATTCCAACCCACATGATGAAGATCATTCCGAAACTATCAACGAAGGACCAGATGCCAAGATGTGGTTTGAGGACAAAGAGACGACACATCATTGGGTAGTCCGCGGGCGTGAGGCATTGGAGGAGTTAGGGATTGAGAAGCGAGATGGGATCTCCGTTGAATGATTTGCTTTGTATAATACATCACCAAAACGTGCAGAGTCTGACAAGGCAATATATTTACATGTAGACTTTATAAGCGAATATAAGGATCCACAATATGTAAAAAATATATGTCTTAGCAGTAAATTCCAATACATTTTTGTGTTCAATTTGGTGATGTAGGTCAGCATGCTTTGTTTCGTGTTTTCGATGATTTGTGGCCATGCATCATGAGCATTCGTACTCTGTTAATTGAATCTATGGAGAATGAACGTATCCATAGAGTGAGCTGTGCATTCTTGTTTTCTAACATGAATATTTTCGGAAACAATTCTCAAAGGCCAAGAATCATTTGAAATATAAATAGTATAACTCGTTGAATATTTCAAGTAATGCACGAAAACAAATGCAGAGCCCAAATAATATCAGCCGGTTATAATTACACAGTACAGGACTGGGAGCCATTAAATAAAACATTGATCAGACTCTGGATTGACAACCAATTTGTGAGAAGAAGTTAATAAAGGGTAGAAAAAGGTATAATGTGTGTCACAAGAATATAAGGAACGAACAGAAACATAATTTAAGACCACAGACTGCCTTAGACAAAATATGATCAATTGGTAAGAACCAGTCCCTGGCCGTTTCTTGACCTCAAACAACGGGTACACCCTCTTCGTTCGATATAGCTGGTTAGGCGCCTACAAGGAGTCAGATCATTTGAAGCCAGCATATAATAGAATAAGCTTACCTTCAGTGAAATCACTGTTGCTCACTGTTCTAGATTTGTTATTGATTCCTTTGTTCACCCCCTTTCCCTTGCTTCTTTCATATTGTTCAAGAGGTGACTCCCAATATCAAAGAGAAGTTATACTAGTACTGTGTCCGAATTGCTATTGATGATTGTTTCTCAGGGTATTTTTCCAGCTCACTGTCACTTTTTTCACACAGCAGACACATTAGAATATGATACACAAACAAATTTGTCCCATATTCTAAATCATATTATTATTGTCCAATCAGAGGCCTGCTTCAGAATATTGTTTAGCATATGATGTGAATATGTTTGTTTGTTATATTCTAATGTCTGCTATGTTGTGACTTTGTGTTAACCTCCAAAGTTCCGGACCTCATGTGCTGGGCAAGGCTTTCACTTTCAGAGTATATGGTTAGTCTTATACTGTACTACACCAGAAACCACAATGTTTCTTTTTAGGGACTCATGCCAGGTAATACCATACCATACCATTATAAAATGAGGACTTAATGACTCATTTAATGCTTACTCTATGTGATTGGTTGTACATAGCAAGTAAATCCTCATAAAAAATTGATGTAATTTGCACCAATAAATAGCTCGATTTTGTTGATTAAAGTGATGAATTTACAATATGACATACAATATGGATATGTATGAACAAATATCAAGGTAACAGACAACCAATTTCAAACTCTGCCTTGTCAAGGATAATTGGCACAATTCTCTGTTTGGAACTCCCAACATATATTAATGTGCACTGATCCACTGTGCCACATTGCGTGCATCCTGGATAATGTGAGCAACTAGGATGGTGGTACAAGGGTATGTACTGTTTAAATAGACTTTCAAACAGTATGTAAACTGCTATCATTCTGTAGTCCTACAGATTTATGTGCAATAAGTCAGATGAGTTTCAGATATCTGAAGAAGATTTAACGTGCCTTCTGTAATCACTACATCACTCATTTGACTTAATCTGAAACTGGTCCCTTTGTTTGTCCCCCTCTCCCCTGCCTCCTTTATGTTGATTAAGAGATGACTGCCGAGAACAGAGATCAAAGTAGGACTTCCTGCTGCACTCAGAAGGCTTGCAACAATGTTACTAATGATTATAATCCTGATCTCAACAATTGGCATCACACAGCAGTATATTACACTAGAATCATAAGTACAGGTAAGGTTTAGTGTGAGATTGAACTTACAAGCCATAATAAAAGGCTTGATCTTCAATGAGTACCTGAATGAGACGAAAGCCTTTGAGCCCTACAGATGCTCTCCAGTATTCTGTTGCTTTGAAAAGAGCCAGACAGAGCAGGATGGATCCATATAACATAGGGATCAACCTGCAACCTATTAGTTCGAAACAAGATTTGTGAATATAATACTTACCATGAGATTAATACTAGTGAAACTGGTGGTGTATTTCCACTACAGCAAATAGAAAGGTCTGGTGCAATATGAATGTTACTGACTGAATCACTGCTTTTTAGTCCACTTGTCAGAAATTAGTAATAATCAATTGCCTTACCATCCTCAATTAAAATATTTCGAATAAGAATGCCCAGGTTTCCAATTGCTTCAATAGCAAGGAGTGACTTTAACAAAATTGACAGCTTTGTACCTGCTAAGATCAGATTTAGTAATGCTATAGAAGATCAAGATACTTACTTTGATGATATAATGCCAAAACACGAATCTGGAGAACGTCTGTACAACAGTTATTAATGTGAAGCATGCATTTGTAGTAGTGAGAGTATTTCTTACAGTCTATAAGGACAAAAGTAATCAACCCTAATTATGTGTTAATCACAAATCATAATAGATGCTAATGTGCCACTTACCACATACTTCACGAGTGAAGTAAAACATCCGATCTGACTGTCTGGTCAGTTAAAAGTATCCAGCAGAGCATATAGGCGGTTGGAATAAGTACACACAGCTACAAATAATGTGTGTAAGGTCTTAGATTAGCATACATATTTGTTGATATGTTTCCTTCATACCTCAAGAGGCTTCCACTGAACCCATTCACTGGAGACAGTTTGTTCATATTAATTGATAACATATCTTTGTGATATTTCAGGAGCATTGTTACTTACAGACTAAAGAGCAAGTTGCTCCAAGAAGTCCAATATATTGATTCTAAACACATTTAATTATAATATCGTACTTGATAAAAAATCACGTGTCCTTACCGCAAAGTAAACAAACTTCGTAGGGGTGCATGGGTTTCCCTTTAACAATATCATTAAAACATAGTATCGAACGAGGGATATAAGTATAGAACACACCCAAAAGTACTTCACCTACATAAATGCAGCTCAGAGTATATCTAGGGATTCAACACAGTGAACGTACCTCCTTGTCTATCGTAGAAACTGGAATTTGGATAGGCACAGCCGTCAGCAGTCTTTAAGTTCAAGTAATCGTGATGCGTACGAGCGTGATAGACCAAGACAGTCAATAATGCTATGCTGAAGTACTGTTCAATGACGTGTCCGGAAACAGCAAGCTGAACAACCTTCGGATCGATGGATTCTGTATCTGAGCGAGTGAAGAACAAGTAGGCGTGTCCATAGTCAAGCGTTTGGTTCACCATTGTAGTCGAGTGCACACACCAAGGCATATCATAGACTGCTTTTGAACCCCATGAAGTTTCCTATTGATTCGAAGTGCGATCCCATTTTCGTTGAGGTGAAAGGATGGAGACGGGCATCATCTGCTGGAGTAAAACAAGTATATAGTTTCTCGGGTGGTAGATTTGCACCAAACAAATATTGCAATGTTGGTATCATAGGCAAGATTTTAATCTAAATTGATTCTAGTTTCACACAAGTTCTGAGTAGAATAATAGAATTCGGCAGAAGAAATTTAAAAGAATTATGTCGATATCTATACAAAAGCTGAAAGTGAGCTCTGGATCTTGAAGCAGAACATAAAGTATGGCAACAAGTGAGTCAGCACAAGGATTTTTTTGCTGTTAGATGGTATGTCGAACGTGGTGGCAATGTTGCACTCTGCAAGTCCTTGCAACAATTTGAGAGAGTCAAATGAGATGGTGGGATACAGATTAGAAACATACATTACTAGTCATGCAAGACATCAGATCAATAGAGTGCACTGCAGAAGAGACAGGCTCAGCAAAATGTTCGCTACTTCGGAGTGCCGTTGATAGTAACCCCGGTCTAGTTGATATGCATAGCATTACTGTAACAGACATCCGTGCATTATAGTATCTGTTATTTTCTGCGGCTCAAGTGTCTAGAATAGAGCAGTGGTAATACATAGGAGGTTGTCACGGCTGGATACAAGATTGATGTCAACAACATTGTTACAGTAAGCCAACTTTGAAGGCAAGGAAAAATCAAACAGGAGGCGCCATCTTACTTGAGTACCATCATCTAAGAAATATGATCCTGACCCGTTGGAATCGCTGTTAAAGTTTCAGTGCCAGCATGCCAGTTGTATATCTCATCTCACCTGATTTCCTAAGCCAACATGGTAGTTTGGATTAGCATGCTCATTCTGATTGTTCCAGGACAACATTTGTATTGTGAGAATGAACCAAGGATTCACTGCAGCCACCAAGTCAGGTGAATAAGATATTGTCAGAGCTATAATAGAGTAAATTAGTGAATCTACACATACCCTTTGCTAGCTCTAAAAGAACACAAACTGTGAATATAGAAGAGGGCCAATTAGATAACCTACACTAAGTATTGACTAGATCTGACTACATCACGAAAAAGTCGCAACAAATGTAATTAATAATAGCAAATGTAATTTAATAATGTAGTTATATATCTATTACAATCTAAAATAACAATTATACTTGACACATAATTAAATTGTAACAATTGTATATAAATGTAATGATTATACAAGAATTGTATTATACTATAAGTGTTTTTTAAAGTAAGTAATGTTAATACCATTATTACTACAATATTATATGTAAGACACAAGTACTTAACTTTTATTGTAATATGTTAAAATTGTATATAAATTAATATACAACAGTAGTTGATTAATTATAATACTTATAAAAGTGATACATTATACTTGTAAGTTAATTATAGTACTTTTGGTAAGATAATATACAATTATATATATTAATATTGTTAACAATCAGTCTGTTAGACTTATAATATAATCTGATTTTGCTTTTAAACTTTATATTAAAGTGCTTACATAATCGAATACTAAAGATTGAGAGCATATAATGATGCACTTACACTTGTTACTCCTTTTCCTCCTACCTCTACCATCTCCCCCAACCCTCTTTCCCTAACACTATACATTACTTTTGTTCTCTCCAGCCTAGTCTCCTGTCTACAAGCATTCTCTAGCAGGCACACTGTCTACAACCACCTAGACAATAAACATTACTACATTCATCTCTCTAATCTGCTACTGTAATGCTTGTACTAAGCCTCAGATCCTGTGACAACACAACCTAGCTAGCTTTGCTATCATTCAGTATAAAGTATAAGTAGCTAGTCTACCTCATAATAACCTGTACAATAGTTGCTCACCCCTCTCCTCCCAACTTTTTGTCTTCCTTCCATCCCTTTCACTCCTTACTTTGCCTCTTGTGTTGCCTCTCCTTTGTTGCCCTCCTTTTATTATGTTTGCCTTCCTTTTTACATTTGTATTTGTACATCTGTATTATTGACTAGTGTTAAACAACTTTTTCAGTAATTCTATACATTTGTGTACTTCTTCCTACTCAGTAATACAAGTAACAATTAGTAAGTATGTACTTGTAACAATGTTAATGTATGACCACTCCTTAGACACAATCCTCTCTCCAGCCCTCTACACACTCTCCTACCTCACCTACTATCCTATGTTTAACATTACCCTTAATAAGCCTACACTGTGTACATTTATATTCCTTAGTACTGTGTATAATACTATTTTAAACAGAAGTAGTAACCCTCTACTCTCCTCTCAGCCAAGTCTGTCTGCCTTCCACTTCACCTTTGCCTTTCAAGCTAGAACATCCTAGAGATACACCTTACAATTAATGACTCAGTTTACTACACCTCCTATTAAACACTATAGATAAACTATAGAGTGTACACACACAGACACAGTTTTGTCTACAGTCTGAATCAACTTGTTCAACACTCTGGATCTCAACCTGTATGTACTACTTACACTCACTGTATGTTAGGAATTGTAAAATACAGTAACTAAGTTTGGAAAAGCTTAACTCAAGACTTGGAACTAAGTAGTTTATATACAAAACTCTATTAGTTATAAGTCTAGAGATTGGTCAGATCAACTAGGCTACCTTTGTTGTCCTACTTAGTAAGAACTCTAGCTCAGCATTATTAACCTCTAATCATTACTAATGGGTGATCAATCTATTAGTAGAGAGAGGGGACAGGAAGGAGTAAGTACTAAGTTAGTTAGGAAAAGGTAACAAAACCTGTAGACAAGGTCTTTATCTCTCTAAAGTTAAACACATACTCTAGTACAGTATTACTTAATAACCTTAACTAAAGACAAGTCATTTGAAATGCTTGTATAGAGAGGGGATCTGGAAAGAGTATAGTGTCCAGAGTAAGAAGTATAAAGGAAAAGACTAAGAGAAAACCTGAAGAGACAAAAGGAAAATATTATACTTACTTGAGGAGAAACTATATAACTAGCTAGAAACTCTTTGTACAAAGACAAAGGACTATTAAAGCTAGTAAAGAGTTAGAGCTAATACTCTAAAGCTTTATACTTGAGAAGGACTAGTACTAGTGTGAAGGAAAGGGAACTGAGAGCTCTAAAGAGAGACTATAGGAAAGTAGTCTCCTTTATACACTTTACCCATACAGATGAGAAAGTAATGAAGTTAGAAACATGAGGACTATATAAGGACAACATAAGGAATACATGAGACAATCTAGAACTTTGGTTGTAAGTTCTATGATTGAATACAGAAGTACAAAGATAAGGCTAGAAGTTAATAAGGATAATTGTCTCCTAAACTAAGTCTATTAAGAAGACTTAGGGAAAGATCTAGAACATTAGTTGTCAGTTCTAGAGTGTACACAAAGTAGTCTAGAACTTTGGTTGTAAGTTCTAGGAGTAGTATAGAAGTACAGCCTTTTATATTATAAAAGTCATAAGGAGTCATTAGAAGTTATAATACTCTACCTTATGAGAAAGTGTATTACAAACTAGTGTACAGAAAGTACAGGTTGAGTCAGACAGAGTTATAAGAAGACTATAGAACAATAGAAAGCTCTACTTTATAGGAAAAGTATTATACAGCTTACACAGTATAACTAGTCAGGAGGACTTATAAGGAGTCATTAGAAGTATGAGAGAAAGTATAGAAGACATAACAATATAGTAAGGAGTCATTAGAAGATTAATCTAAGATACAAGAAGACACAAACTAGTGTTAGCAGATTAATAGAAGACACAAACTAGTATAGTATACAGTTTAAAGGATTAGCCAGCTCTACTTTATAGGAACAACAGTGAAGAGAGTTACTAAAGTCACTAGAGTAACATTACTCTAGTAAAAGGTATATAAGGAGGCCAGTTTAGCCCTCAAAAGATAGTTTTATCAACTTAAGTTACTTAGTACTTAGAAGTACTCTACTACTAACCTACTAGGCTACACTTACAGCTTGACTAAAGCAGAACTCCTCTACCCTCTTACTCTACAAGTCTACAAGTCTTACCCTCTATACTCTATTCTGTTACTATTCCTAAGGATTAGGACTAGTAAAGTGAGTATATCTTACACTTTGATAAAACTCTAACTTAGTTACAAATCTTTACTATTCTAGTAAAGCTCTAGTCTACTAAGGGGAGCTTAAACCTAGAGCTAGCACACAAGTATATCAACTCTAATACTTACTTTATAATATTAACTAACCTTAATAATTAGTATTCAAAGTAGGTAGACAAGTTACTCTACTACTTAGAATAGTTGTTAAAGTAAGTAACTTTCTTTTGTAGTAAGAAAAGAAAGGTTAATCAAGAAGTACTACTGGTTCTTAATTACTTAGTAGCCTACACACAGGAACAAGTGTTGATACTAGGAGGTATTAAAGGAATACTATTTTAGATATAGGGAGAAATTCCTCTAAACTCTTTCAAGTAAGAAAGAGTAGTATTAACTGTTACCTATACAACAGACACTCCTATTAATCAACAAATTTGAATTAAAGAGTGTTTCTACAAATAGTAGGAATATGAGAATGGTTGAGGGATTTGATAATAAAGGACTGTATAATAGTAGGCTTCTGTCTGTGTCTAGTACTAGTTGTTGTATGTATAATATTCTAATCCTTTCCTTGATCTGATACAAAGCTACTTTTTATAGCTTGTTAACTTTGTTTAGTATAATATTACAAAAGTTACTTACTTTTACAATATCTGGATATCCTTGTTCTAGTGTAAGTAATGTACTGTGTAACAGATTACATATTGTTATAATGTGTATAGTTAGTCTGAGTATCCTTGGATTTGTTTGTTACATATACTAGGAGTAGGAGGAAGGGTCAATTAGGGAACAGTACAAGATTGGCTCAAAGAAGAAGTTCACACTCTAGCTACTCCTATTCAAACAAACTGGGGGCCTATTATAGCCTTTGGATTATAAGGACAAAGGCTTGGATATAACAATTTTTAAGTCTTAACAGAATAATTAGGTCTACTCAAAGCTAAGACTTACATTATAAAACTATACAAGAGGAAATCACATACTTGTGTAGTCTTATACAATCAGAACAATAAGGAGAAAAGTTGGAAGGGATACAATCAGATCTAGATACACAAAGTTTGAATATCTTTAATATTTATACAAAGTTACAAGAGATCTTAGACAAAATACAGGACCTTACTAACAGAGTACAGGAACTACAAGTTGAATCAGGAATAGCACAAGTATTTCTAAACAGGTTAGTACAGTCACAATTCAACCTAACTACTATATTACAAAATATTAGTAGAGAGGAACAACAAAGTGACAGGAGAGAAGGAAGTACTTCTAATACTTAATACTCTTAGAGACAAGAACATTTTACCTAGGAAAACACAGTCTAAGAAAATTAAGAAAGTGAACTATCAGGTTCTTCAGCTAAAGAAGAAGAGCTTGTTAACACAATATAGGGAGGAATCTAAACATTTCAAGACTATAGTGGAATTGAAACACAACATTCAGATAGTCTACTAGGATCCTTTAGAAGCTTTCAAGGTCAGTCAGAAATTATTACTCAGGAAGGTTAGACAGTTGAAGAAATTAAACAGTCTATGTTACTAGATACCTTTATAGTAGAAGGAATACTAACATTAGATTATTATAGTTGGTTGTATCAAACCTATCAAAGTAGTACTAGTTTAGAGTCAAGTTCATTAGACTCTTATACACTAAATTCAGAATCTAGTAACTAGAAAGAGAGTAATATAGAGGGAACAAGGAAAATCAACCTGAAACTGCTAAAGTTTTTAGGACAGAAAGGGGAAGATCTAAAAGTGTTTAAAACAAATCTAGCAATACACTTTAGACATTACAACATTACAAATAGTTTGGATAAAGTAGAAACAGTAATTTTATACTTAAGAGGGAAAATAGCAAGTCACATGAATAGAAAGGCAATATTATTTGTGACAGAAGGAAAAAGCTTAGTTTCAGAAATCTAGAAAGATTATAATACATTTTTAACTGATCTGAGAGAAGCAAGTAGAAAATACTATAATTCTATAGAAACAGCTTAAACTCAAATGCACAATTTGAGACAAGGAAAACTAACAATTATAGAATACAATGAAACATTCAAGAGAATATTAGTCTACCTACCTAATAAGTATAAACTAGGAGAACTTGGAAAGAATCCTGTCACAATTCATTTATATAGAAATGGATTAAACCCTAGCAAATTACAACAGTTAGTTACTATCCCTAGTTATATAGAATAGACATTTAAGAAATAGACAGATACAGCTCTCAGTCTAGAGAGAGGAATGGTACACACAAAAACATTTAGACAAGAATACAAACCTCTTAGTGATTATTATAGAGTACTAATGGAAATTGACAGAATAACAAAAGGTAGGGAAATGGCATACTTTAAATGTAAACAGAAAGGACATATAGTTAGGAATTGTACTAGAAGAAATCCTTAAGGTAAAAGGCCAAAGTATAAATCTAACAAGAGGTTCACAAAAAGGAACACAGTAATCCCTAAAGAACAGGAAGCCTACATTGATAAAGAAGAGGAAACAGAAGGATCAAGCAAAGAGGATTTTTGAT